AGGAAAGGAAAGCGGGCCATGAGCTCTCTGGATTTGGGGGCCGCTTTCAGCGCCTGAACCCCAAACCCTAAACCCTACGGACAGGCCGTGGTGGCTGAAGTGGCCAAGCTGAAAGGGTGAGCGAGGTGCACAGCTTTGGGGGTTTGGGGTTTGGGGTTTAGGGTTTAGGGTTTAGGGTTTAGGGAGGTTTGGGGGGGGGGGGGGGGGGGGGTTGACTAGGTTGGGCTCTTACGCGGTTGGGGATTTCCTGTTTCTGCACCCCCATATTAGGGCCTCCAAGAAAAGAAATCGCGAACTGGCCATTCAGGTTTAGTGTTTAAGGTCTAGGGTCTAGGTCCTTCTTGAGAAAAAGGGGCATCCTTGCTGTTTCCTAGGTGACTCTGGGAGTTGGCAGACATGGGGCTCAGGATATGGGGCTCCCCCGTGTGTAGGCTGCTTGTTCATAGTCATAGCTTTGGCTCAGCCTTAAGATCCTAAACCCGAAGCTCGACTCCCTGCGAAACCCTGAAACCTGCCCTAAAGCCTAAACCCCAAACCCTAAATCCTAAACTAAAGACTCCCAACCCCCAACCCCCTCAAGCACTCCGGGCTCGAAGGGCCCGCCGGGCCGGGAAGAGTTTCTCTGTCCCCCCCTGTGGTTCTCGGGGGTTGTCTTGTTTGTAAGTAGATCTATTTGGTTTTGGTTATAGGGCTTAGGGTGCAAAATTTAGGACTTAGGGGGTTATGGGGTTTAGGGCTTCGAGGCTTAGACTTCGTCATTACGGCTGTTGGCATGCTTGTTTGATGATGACTCCTGGCTGAAAAGAAGTCTATGATGATTGTACTAGGTAGGTGCATTGTGATTGCTAGTTAGTCATGTCTATCTAGGACCCACAGCGGAGTCTCATTCCCTGAGTTCTTCGGTTCCCTGATCAGAAGATGGGTTAGTTTTTTTCCGCACGGTGACCGGAGTGGTTGTCATTTGTGTGGCACCCAGCCCCCGGCCTCAGCTCAACGTAGCTAACAGCCCACCTGCTGCGGCTGTGGTGCCTTTCCTCGCATGCCGGCGTTGGAGGAGGTGTCCACGCAGACCCGTCCCTCCCCAGCTGGAGCAGCAATGGCAGGTGGCCTTGACTCAGGCTGTGGCAAGTCACCCCATGGGGATGATGGCTCTGAGCTTTGCTGTGGGTGCCGTTTTTTTGTGTGGCGATCCTGTACGGATCAGAGGTCCTTTACCTGGTGTGCGTGGTGGGACTGGTGATTTGCGTGGTGGGACTGGTGATTCTGGGACCTCCTCTACTCATCACCTTGCTGGTTACGGCCAGCGGGCTCGAACATGGACTAGAAGGCCACGAGCAGGCTGAAGCAAAACCTACTTGCCGTCTTGAATCCTACCAGAGTCCTTCGATATTCACCGCATGGACGGTACAAGGAGCAGCTTCAAGATTCCCGAGCCGTTGCCGGTCCGAGTCGTGATTTTCTACCACACCGTGGATGCCCCTGCAGATTTTGTGAAGGAGCTTCAGCGCTGGGTTCAACTTGCGGGAGAAGGGGAGTGCTGCGGAAAGATCGTCCTCTGCAACACGGAGTCTGTGGCGAAGACCATCTCTGTGTCTGCCAAGATCGAGCTGCACAATGCCTGCCCCCGAGGGATGCCACGTGCGAACCCACGGGCTCTTCTTGTGGATCAGAGCGGGAGGATCCTGAAAGTAGAGCACGCCAAGCTCGGTGACGTGAGGTGCAGCCTGGTTGGCGAATCTAGCACCCTCCTCGGCCGCAGCCTGAACGCCTTAGACTGACGGCACGCCGATTTAAGCTTGGTAGCCCAGTGGTACCCTTTGTCCCTCTTTGGGTTCAAGGTTCCCTTGTAAAGCAACCAGCCCAACAACAAAAGGGTGCCCCTTGTTCTCTTATTCTAAGATGGCTACTGGGCTGCCAAGTAAATGCACCATTTAACTGGGTTTTGGAGTACTATACTTTAATACTTCTTATGGTTGTGGGTTCCCACTATAGTTACTTCTACCGAACAAGTATATGCTTTTTTCCAGGGTCTACTCCAAAGGTGGGTTATTCTCTTATTCTAAGATGGTTACCCTAAACCCTAAACCCTAAACCCTAAACCCTAAACCCTAAACCCTAAATCTTCAAGTTTCTGGAGCCGCAAGGGTGCGCAAACCTGTGGCTCTCAGCTTCCAAGGCTAAGGACCTCCAAGGACGGCTGAGGAGCTGTGATCCGGGAAGAAAGGTGTGCCTTGCGGACGGGGTTTAGGGTTTAGGGCTTAGGGTTTAGGGTTTAGGGTTTAGGGTTTAGGTTTAGGGTTTAGGGTGTAGGGTGTAGGGTGTAGGGTGTAGGGTGTAGGGTGTAGGGTGTAGAGTTCAGGTATGGTGTACCCAGCATGCTACATCCAGGGGGAGGAAGAAGGGAGAGGAGTGGAAGGACAAGGCTGAAGATGGGTATTTTAGGATGTCAGGGAACAGGTTTTTGGGTTTTGTTACATGGGGGTTTCCTCCGAAAATTTGGGTGCCGTTTTGGGGTCCTCGCTCTGGCAGTATTTTGATTATCAGAAGGGATTCCTGCCATTTGGGGAGGACTTTGTTTGTGCGTTCTCCAATCACTAGTTCGTCCGTATCGTTCTGGCAATCGACTCTTCATCGAGGCTGGGGCCATGGAAAGGTTAACCGCTCCCTCTTCCCCGAAGACCCTATAAAATGCACAAGGAACGCGTGAAAGCCCAATAAAAATAGAGTTCATGTCATGAGGGCTTTGTGAGGCAGTTTCTTGGACTTTTAATACGGGCCAGTAAAGAAACTTACGAAAAACGGCCCGTACATGGCTCCTGCTATACAAGAATGGTTTAGGGTTGAGGGACCCTAAGCCCTAAACTCGAAACCCTATATAAGGGGTTTTAGGGTTCAAAGGAGGTTTTGGGTTTAGGGCCAGGGCTTAGGGGGTTTGAGGGTCTGGGGGGTTTGATGTTTTAATGGGTTTTGGGTTTTAAGGTGGTTTAGGGTTTCAAGAGGTGTTTGCTTTAGGGTTTTAAGTGGGTTTTGGGTTTTAAGGTGGTTTAGGGCTTTCGGGGGCTTAATGGGGTTTAGGTTTTTCGGGGGCTTAAAGGGGTTTAGGGTTTAGAGTTTAGGAGATCACAGCTGCGCGAATTGTTCTTCTTCTTCTTGTTTGACTATGCTCCAGGTATATGACTCTATGATGATGACCCTAAACCCCAAACCTTAAACCCTAAACCCCCCAACCCTAAACCGTAGGCCCCGCTGGGATGGTCTCTTTTCTTGGTTGCTATGCCGTGGCACCCTGGCCACAAACGGTGAGGTTTAGGGTGTAGCGTGTAGGGTGTAGGGTTTAGGGTTTAGGGTTTAGGGTTTGGGGTTTAGGGTTTAGGGTTTAGGGTTTAGGGTTAGCTATCCGCCACCTTCGTACGCGAGAGTTATGAAATTCCAATGTGCGTGGCAGGCCCGAAATGCCAGCCTCTTGCCGAAGCTCGCTGAGCTGGGCAGATCTGAGTGCGCTTCACGTGGGGTTTAGGGTTTAGGGTTTAGGGTTTAGGGTCATACGGCTTCAGGTTTAGGGTTTAGGACTCAAGGCTTCAGGTTTAGGGTTTAGAGCTTGTATCTGCCACCCTCGAGCCCTATAAGTTCGCATGCGAAGGCCTTCATGTCAATATGAACCCCAAAACCTGCAGGTCGTGGGGAAGTCGTCAGACATCGCTGAGGCTTTTTTTAGCAGGGTCTAATGTTGTGTTTGGTGTTCAAAGTTGGGGTTTGAGGCTGCGGTTTGGGTTTAGGGTTTAGGGTTTAGGGTTTAGGGTTTAGGGTTTAGGGTTTAAGGCTGCCCTGTCATCGCTTCAGTTTGTAAGCTGCAGATAGCCGCTCCATGAAACATCCATGGCGCTTCAGCAGGTGTTGGCAAGCTAACGTGCAGTCATCTAATTCCCTATATTGCCGTAAAACCCTAAACTGACCCTGAAGCCTAAGCCCCTACAAACCCTAAACCCTGAACCCTAAACCCTAAACCCCAAGCCCCAAGCCCTTAAGCCCTTAAGCCCTTAAGCCCTTAAGCCCTTAAGCCCTTAAGCCCTTAAGCCCTTAAGCCCTTAAGCCCTTAAGCCCTTAAGCCCTTAAGCCCTTAAGCCCTTAAGCCCTTAAGCCCTTAAGCCCTTAAGCCCTTAAGCCCTTAAGCCCTAAACCCGATCTGGGAATTGCGAGCATCAGGTGTCAGACTCGCCCTGTTGCATTAAAACAATACCATTTGACATGACCCGGAACATAAGTTGCTAAAAACAATGGGGCTTACGAGGATATAGGGGTTGAGGGGTTTAGGGTTTAAAGGGTGGATTTAGGGGTTGAGGGGTTTAGGGTTTAAAGGGTTTAGGGTTTATGTTAGCTTGCCCAGGCGTGGCTGTAAGGTTTCCGATGGGCTTAGAGTGCACGGCCGCTTCTGTAGGTGGCCTGGCGGTGCAACATGTGTCGGCAAGGAGGTATGTGAAACAAAGCGTGCGCCCACCAGAGCCTTAAACCCTAAACCCGAAACCCGAAACCCTAAACCCCAAACCCTAAACCCTAAACCCTAAACCCGAAACCCTAAACCCTAAACCCTAAACCCTAAACCCTAAACCCTAGGCAGCTACACTCCTTCGGTTCAGCCGTGAACTTGTCCCAATGGCTGCGGGGCCCAAGGGGCTGACATGTGCGGGCCCTCAACTCCTAAGCCCTAAACCCTAAACCCTAAACCCTAAACCCTAAACCCTAAACCGGACACAAATCCAAACCGCACCTGGGTTTTATAGGGGACTTGTAGGGGATTTACAGGCGGTTTGTAGGGGATTTTACAGGGTCTTGTAGGCTTTTGTAGGGTTTATAGGGTGTAGGGTTCAGGGCTTAGGGGAATCTTGCAGGCGTCTTTGTTCTACGAAGATCGCGTGAGCCCCCGCCATAGTGTCGACTTTTCGGGTCACAAGACGTTTACGGATGCAGCTGACCCCTCCGCCCTAAGCTTTCTTTGGTGAGCCTTTGCGCCCGGTCTGGGCATACGAATACGGTCCTGTCAAAGGGGCCCCGATTACCAGCAGGGTGCTGCATTGTCTAGGGGAAGCCGCAAAGGAACCCCAACTAAGCTACTTCAAAAGGGGCTACAGCCTACGGGCTAGTGTTTGGGGTGCAAAGGGGACGACAGAAGGGCTGCTGGTTTCTAAACCCTGAACCCTGAACCCTGAACCCTAAACCCTAAACCCTAAGCCCTAAACCCTAAGCCCTAAACCCTAAACCCTAAACCCGAAGCCCTAAACCCTAAACCCTCAACCCTAAACCCTAAACTTAAACGGGCTTCCCATTGACGTCCGTTTCCGCTGCCCTGATGGCCCGAACCATCGAGGCGCTCCAGGCAAAGGGGCACGCCGCCAGTTTTGATGCACATGGGGTGGTTTCATAGGGGGTGGCCAGCTTATCCACTCATGTCAGAGCATTTAGGGTTTCTTAACGTTGAAAAGACCATTCATTTCAGAGAGGGCGATCTGCTGCTTTTCCAAATCTTAAGACTCATCAGCTGCGAAGCTTTCGGAAGTTCGTCCTCTGGTTACTTAAGGTCTTCCTGGGTGGCGCGGTGCAAGCGGGGCCACCTCAAGGGCTTTCAGACCTCCAGGCAGAGGCCACACGCCCTGAGCCTCTACCAACCCTGCCGGGATCAGAGTCCTCCAACCCCCCGACTTGCCAGAAACGCACGCGAGACACAACCAACACGCGCACTCGCAAACAGCTCATGGCAACAGCAGTGGTTTGAAATAAGCAGCTCTCCCCCAGGGCCTACAACAAAACACACAAGTAAGAAGAAGCAAAGGAGCAACGGGCGAGACCGAGAAGAATCACTGGGCCTTCTTTTGGGGACTCCCTGCGGCTATCCGACGCCATGGCGCAGAAGAAGCCGCCGGCGAACATCGAGGCGGCTTTGGGGTGTCGCGTTGGGATGAGGGTTTGGGGTTTAGGGTTTAGGGTATCCCGAATTGAGGAAGCATGCGAGCATCTGAAAGCCAGGATCACACTTACAGGTCCATGGGTAGCTCGAAGTCGGGGTATTAGTAGGCAGAACCCCACTTTTTCCCGAATTGAGGCAAACATATACGGGGGACCCCCAATATAGATTCCGAAATAGTCGGATCCCCTATAAGAAGGAGCCCGAATAAGGTACCCCTAATTTCGGAAACACCATATCCCTGCAAGGTTGCAGGATGTGAAGTCTGTCTCCCCCGCCTCTTCCCCGCCTCTTCCGCCCAAAGAAGCACAGCACATCCATGCATCTGACGGGGCTGAAGGGTTATCGTCCTTCTTGCTGTCTAGGTAGGCCCGTGGGGCATCTTATATTTTGCCCTTTTTTGAGGTTCAAGAGGGTCATAGTCGGTTTAAGGGCCATCCTAACCCCTGTCTCCAGCAAGTTCTACACGTGCTCCGGCAAGCACAGCGACTAACAGTCCTTAATAGGGATTACTGTACCCCCTACTAAACTCCCTTTGAAAAAACTGCTAGAAAAATAAAAAGATCATTCCAATACCCTACTCCCTAACCCTGACGGTCTCTTGCCATAAGCTGACAAGTTGCAAACCCCCTTCTTCGGCAATCCATTCTGGAAGCAGATGCGCATCCCCCGGGGCTTAGGGTTCTGGGGTTAAGGGCGTTTAGGGCTTAGGTAGCCTAGGGTGTACTAGGGTTTTCGGAGTTTAGGGTCTAGGGTTTAGGGTGTAGGGGATGCAAAAGGGGTTTGGGTTATTTAGGTGTAAGTTTAAGAGAGCTGACGGGGCCGGGGTCCCTCGCCCCCCTACATGAAGGTTCAAGGACTTGTAAGTATAGGGCCAGATCTACGCCTGCGGTTCTTTGGGACCTAAACCCTAAACCCTAGACCCTGAACCCTAAACCCTAACCCCTAAACCCTAAACCCTAAACCCTAAACCTCAAGTTGTCTCGCCAGGCACCCAGGCAATTTCTTCAGACCCTGCAGCACATCTGTTCCTTGTTGGGGGAACAAAGCCCACGAAATACAAGAGGGCGCCCTTTGAATTCTTAGGGACGTCGGGTACCTCGATTTTTTGACAATGTACTGCCGAACCCCATGCTCGCTCTGTCGCAGGAGTTCCTGTGGTACATGCACACCTTGCTTGTGAACGCAGGAGGTGCCTTGGTTGTGGGCCGTTTGCGTTTCCACGTGTGCTTCTTTTTTTGATTTGTTTGCGCAGTGCCTCAGCAGTGCGATGTCCCCACTTAAACCCTGATAGCCGGAAATGAGAATGGGAACACGTCAGGACAGAGTGGAGGTTGGGTTCAGGATTTCGGGGTTTCGGGTTGGGATTCCAAGGGATTTCTTGAACCTCTCAGGCCCCCAAGCCCTAGCCCTTAAACCCCTTGGGTAAAGGGCTGGGCTTTGGGGTGAGGGCATTAGGGTTTGGGGTTTAGGGTTTAGGGTTTAGGTTTAGGGTTTAGGGTTTAGGGTTTAGGGGGCAACTTAGGGCATTCAGGGCCTACAGAGAGGGCTTTCAGGGTGTTTCGGGCATTTGGGGTATCTTGGGTCCCCTAAAACCCCCAAACCTGCTCCTACATCGACTGTTCCCACCTAGCAACAAGCCACTTCGGCCGGCCAGTCGCCGGGCCTCGCAATCCTTGAATTAGGTTTAGGGTTTAGGGTTACGGTTTAGGTTTTAGGGTTTAGGGTCTAGGCTTTAGGCCACCCCTCCCCTCCCCTCCACCCCCGTCCCTCCCCACAAAAAGAACAGATAGACATTGCAACAAGATGAGGGAACGTGAACCAAGCGAAAAAGAAACAAATAAATAAACAGAATAAATGTATATGTATATGTGTGTATATATATATATGTAATTTTTATTGTCTAAGTTTATGTATCCACATATTAGTTTATGTGTATAAAGATATAAGTGTTATTTTGTGTATATATTTAGGTTTATGTATATGTGCATGTATATATATATATATCTATGTATATCTAGATATATATCAACAACCACACAAGCTCAACTTGCGCACCAACCCGCCCAGTGTTGGGTTTAGGGTTTGGGGTTTACGGTGTAGGGTTCAGGGTTTCGGGGTTAGGGTTTTCGGGTTTTAGGGCTTTTTAGGGTGTTAGGGCTTTTTAGGGTTTTTAGGGTTTAGGGTTTAGGGTTTTAGGGTTTTAGGGTTTTAGGGTTTTAGGGTTTTAGGGTTTTAGGGTTTTAGGGTTTTAGGGTTTTAGGGTTTTAGGGTTTTAGGGTTTTAGGGTTTTAGGGTTTTAGGGTTTTAGGGTTTTAGGGTTTTAGGGTTTTAGGGTTTTAGGGTTTAGGGTTTTAGGGTTTTAGGGTTTTAGGGTTTTAGGGTTTTAGGGTTTTAGGGTTTTAGGGTTTTAGGGTTTTAGGGTTTTAGGGTTTTAGGGTTTTAGGGTTTTAGGGTTTTAGGGTTTTAGAAGCCCGTCAGGTCCCCTGCAGCTGGACAAGTTGAAGGACGAGTGGCTGAAGTTCCATGGACACAAGCCCCTCGGGCTTTCAGCGAGGTGTTTGGGCGTCTCCTGAACAGGGTGTTTAGGGTTTGGGAAGGGTTTATAGAGAGTTTAGATATCCGTTGCGGATCTGCTTATGCAGGTTTACCTCTGGCTGTATCCAAAAAAAAACCTACATCTAACCCTGCGGAAAACATACTCACTCATGACCCAGTCCTAGTCCCTACCACCCTGAACCCCGAGCCCTAAGCCTGCATTAGAACTGCCCATGAGCCTCTCCCATGTAAACCCTAGACCCTGATGGGGCCCCACGCCCCTGGGTAGATTCAGCTACTCTCCGGCGGAGGCTAACGAGCTGATAGGGGGTTTGGGGTGAAAAGGTTTTGGGTTTGAGCCCTCAAGTTTTCACAGCCCAAGTCCCTAAATAAACGAAGTAAACCCAATCTAAACCCAGCCTAACCCCTCAAGCTAAACCCCGCGAAGCCAAAAGCTCGAAGACCCCCAAAAATAGTTGTGCGGGCCGAACGCCCCTGCAACGCCATGTGAAGCAGGGTTGTTATTACTGTTTTTGGGTAAGTGCATATAAGGTTCTTTTTTAGTATTGGTGGGTGTATGCCTTGGGTGTCCTTTGGGGGGTACAAGAAATATAAACCCTACTTCATATCGCCTGCAAGGACTTGGGGTTTGGGCAGTGGTTTCGGGTTTAGAGTTCAGGATTTTAGGGTTTTTAGGGTTGAGGCCTTTTTCGGGTTCAGGATATGCACGATTCCTGTGGGTCCCTAAACCCTAAACCCTAAACCCTAAACCCTAAACCCTAAACCCTAAACCCTAAACCCTAAACCCTAAACCCAGCAGGGTTGTCCCGCCAAGGTGCAACATCGAGAGGTTCCTTGTGGTGAACGAGGCTGGTATCGGGGCCACACTCAAGAGGCCGGGAAGCCCCAAAAGCCCTAAACCCTAAACCCTAAACCCTAAACCCTAAACCCTAAACCCTAAACCCTAAACCCTAAACCCTAAACCCTAAACCCTAAACCCTAAACCCTAAACCCTAAACCCTAAACCCTACAGGAACCCGAAACCCAGCAAGAACCCTAAGCCATACTGGAATCCTACACCTTACTGTAAGGTACTGCTGTAGGGTGTAGCATGACTGTAATACAGGAATCCTATACCCTACAGTAGTCCAACTTCCCTTGCTGCAGTAATCCCCTAACTCAGCCTAAACCCTTTTCAGGGTCCCAATGGGTCCCGGGTTGCTTTGAAAGCAACTATCCAACGCAACAAAAAGCTATTTTCCCCCTACGTTTTTGGGGATCCCAGTTGCTGCAGGGGTTTTCAGGGTTTGGTGTCTTTAGTGGTATAGGTACCCTTTACACAAAATATAGGTACCCTTATTGAACATACAGGTACCCTGAATAGAATATAAGTACACTTACAAAATGGTACCCTTAAATGTTTTAAGTACCCTGAATATCATATAGCTACCCTTAATAAAATACAGGCACCCTTAAAAGATGTAGGTACCCTGACTCAAATCTGGGGAACAAAGATCATGGCTTCCCCTACTACCCCCCCCTCTATACTACGCCCCTAGGTTCCCCGCTTGTTTTAACCTGAATCGGGCTTAAGTATTCCTAAGTAGCCTGAATTACGGGGGGAACCAGGCGGGGGGTAGTATAGAGGGGGGTAGTACCCCTAAACCCTAAACCCTAAACCCTAAACCCTAAACCCTAAACCCTAAACCCTAAACCCTAAACCGCCCTAAGGGAACGAACAGCTCACGAGCGCAGGATCCCTCACGTCGTCAAGCTCGTGAACGAGTCGGGGACGATGTTTGTCAAGGCTGCGCAACCGGCAGGCCCGGGATTCAGTCTGAGTAGAACCCTAAACCCTAAACCCTAAACCCTAAACCCTAAACCCTAAATCCTAAAAACCCTAAACCCTAAACCCAGACCCTAGACCCTAGACCCTAGACCCTAGACCCTAGACCCTAGACCCTAGACCCTAGACCCTAGACCCTAGACCCTAGACTCCAGACTCCTAGACCCTAGACCCTAGACCCTAGACCCTAGACCCTAGACTCCTAGACCCTAGACCCTAGACCCTAGACCCTAGACCCTAGACCCTAGACCCTATAGACCCTAGACCCTTGTCAACACATGATTTTCCTCCCTAAATCCTAGGCACCAGCCCTGTACAAGCCTTAACACTGACGGCAACCTGAACTGGCAATCTGAAGCACGCGACCTCGACTTGGAGCATCCGTCAGAGAGACCAAGACATTTTGGGAGACCGTGCGCCCGGAAGCGTTGTCCCGTCTGCGAGGGCAGGCGCACAAATCTTGGGTAGAGCCTGGCAATTTTGAGAAATGTCCTGCCGCCGAAGACTTCGACCCTAAGCCCTAAACCCTAAACCCTAACCCCCTAACCCCTAACCCCTAAACCCCAGCTGTTCAATGTGGAACTGGCATGCTTCGGCCTGAGCGTGCACGCCGTTCCTTGAAGCTTTGGAAAGCGCTTCTTTAAAACTAAAGCAGACGAAGGCGCAGGAGCATTCCGCACTGTTAAGGAAGAGTACAAAACCCACTTTCTGCAACTAGAGCCCTCGAAGAATAGCGATTTTCTGCCCCCTACGGAATACCATGAATTCCCGCACAAGCAGCATGTCCTGCACATTGGCCATACTACTTCGGTCCCTTCCGCACCACGGCGGAATACGCAGGAATACGCATCGTGCACCTAGTCCGTGAAAGAACAAAGAACATGTAGGCTCATGATCAAGTACAGGGGTAGAACAAGCATAGTTTTGTAGAGTACACATGTATCTTCAAGTAGACTGCGGCGGCCGCGTACACTTCTTCTCCAGAGGGGATCTCTACTTTGCGGGAAATGCCTTAAAGGGCTGTCGCGGGATATACGTACCTAACTCCCTGTTGGAAGAATTTGGTTCGGGCCCAAAGTTGACCTTAGTCGCCTTAGTCATTCTGCAGCAACCTTGAAACCAACGGATGCTTTAGGGTTTAGGGTTTAGGGTTCAGGGTTTCGGGGACGGCACACCAGGGCCAGGGGTTTATGGTGTGTCAAGAGAGGGCACACGTTCTGGTGTGAGAAACCTGCCTCGCTCGCGATGCTTGTTGGTTTAGGGTTTGGGGCGTTTAGGGTCTGTAGCGGCTATAGGGTTTATAGGGTTTATAGGGTTCAGAGGGTTTATAGGGTTTATAGGGTTTATAGGGTTTGTAGGGTTTGTAGGGTTTATAGGGTTTTTATGAGGTTCATACGGTTTATAGGGTTTATAGGGTCTACATGGTGTACATGGCGTTCTTCGGGTTTATCGGCTTCATAGGGCTGAGGGTCGACCTGAGTCCCTGCCCCTGCCCCTAAACCCTAGACCCTAAACCCTAAACCCGAAACCCTAAACCCTAAACCCTAAACCCGAAACCCCAAACCCTAAACCCTAAACCCTAAACCCTAAACCCCAAATCCTTGTGCAGACATCGATCAAGCCCGGCTCATTGAGGAGGACGCTCGGGGTTGTGGAGGTTGTTTAGGGTTTAGGGTTTTAGGGTTTAGGGTTTAGGGTTTAGGGTGTAGGGTTTAGGGTTTAGGGTTTAGGGTTTAGGGTTTAGGCTCCAGGGTCCAGGGTTTGTGGTGTAGGGCTCAGGTTTTCGGGCTTAGGGTTTAAGATTTTAAACCCTAAACCGCCTAAACCCTTAACCCTTCAACCCTGAATCTGAAGTATTTATATAGCCCGAAACCCTAAAAAACACCTTAACAGGGCTTATGCCAGCCTCTGTAAGTGTAGATCCCACGGTCAACTTCGGAGAGCGTCCCGGAGGCGTTCAGCGACGGAAGCTGAAACTGATCCCTGCAGCCACGCGAAGTAGCAGTGCGTCTTTGTGCTCCGGGATGGACGCAGTTGAGAAGCTTGGAGACAGTTCCCGCTGTCTTGGAAGCAGCGACATGTCTGCCACAATGGTATTGCAAGGCCAAGGGTACTCAAGATAGTAGTGCCACAGGAGAAGTACACAAGCTTGTCCTGCCCTTTGCAGAAGGACTGGGAAATCCGACCATCGCATTCTCCCAAGTGTGCCTACTGTCACGGACCTCGAACACGGCGGACTCGAAGCACACTACTTCGCAATTTGCTGGCAGTACTGGGACGCCCAGAATAAGGTGGGGAGAGCCGTATTATACACACTTATAAGAAGCCCAAAGAATTGAAAGTAATGCTTATAATACCCTACTAAGGAGGGGTTCTTAAGCAAAGAGTATAAAGGTTCCTACAACGGACCCGATTTTGAAACCCCAAACCCTAAAAACTAAACCCTAAACCCTAAACCCAGGTTCAGAGCCTCCCTTTGAAGGTTTTGTTGCCGAGTTGCTCGGCGCTCGGACTTTCGGTTTCCAGTTTTAGCGTTTCATTTCGGGTTCGAGGTTTAGTTTGGGTTTTAGGGTTTTGGTGTTTTAGGGCTTCTGGGCGTAGGGTTTAGGGTGATCTTAAACTCTCAGTAGGGTTTAGGGTGATCTTAAGCTCCCTATAAACCCTACACCCTATCTAACCCCTACATCCTAAGCTGATCTTGGGCTTCAGCTGCAGCACCGCTTCGTTCAGCTTCGGCTTCCTCTTCAGGGTGTGTGAATCCCATTGCGCCCGCAAGATTCAGACACCCTAAACCTTAAACCCTAAACCCTAAACCCTAAACCCTAAACCCTAAACCCTAAACCCTAAACCCTAAACCCTAAACCCTAAACCCTAAACCCTAAACCAAAGGGAGCCCTAACTTTGAGAAGTACCCAAGTTGTGCAGCAAGTCAAGTAGAGCCCGGCTTCATCGCCATGAAACTCTTGTTTCGGGTTGAGGGTTTAGGGTGTCTGAATCGGAGACAGCCGTAGACATAGAACACTACGGCAGCGACATCGTCACCGATGAGCTGTACCTTCCCTAGCGTGAAGTATCAACCGCAGGAAGAATCAACTGCAGGTGGCATATAGGAACTTGCTTCATAGAGGTTCAGGGTCTGCAGGGTCTGCAGGGCTTCGTGTGTGTTTAGGCTCTCCCCCCAAGGAGAAAGCCAAGAACTCGTGGGTGTAGTGTAAAGGGTTTAGGGTTACTGCAGCAGGACAAGACATACCGAAAACAGCTGGCCGCGCGAAACGCCGAGAAGGCGGCGGGTTGGGCTCTTCGAGCTTTTTTGGGGTCAGTTTTTGGCTTGTAAGGGTTTAGGCATAGTCTTTAGGTTAAGAAGGGCTGGTTTAAAGATTGCCCTGGAGACTCCGATATAATTATCCCAAATCGAGCCCAAATTTGACCTAGGTTGCCCGGCTGTTGGGTGGTAAAACTTAAAGCCCTTACCCAGGCTAAGACCTCTTAAGGTAGGGTTCTCGTACTCGTTCCTAGTAAGAAAGTGCGGAATTAAAGGCCTTATCCCCTCTGGTTTCCTCGAGAACCCTCAACCCTAAACCCTAAGCCCTAAACCCTAAACCCCCAACCCCCTAAACCCTACACCCTACACCCTAAACCCTAAGCCCTCAGCCCTAAGCCCTAAACCTTAAACCCTAAACCCTAAACCTCGACTTTGACACAAGGTTGCCAAGTGCCTGGTGGTTCCAAGGCATGTTGCAACTGCCTGCAACACGTAGAATCGTAGGGCACGGCAAGAGATGCAGGAGCGTCCAGATCCAGATCCTGGACTGTCACAGACAATTTTGTCCTCTCCCCCCTGCCCCCCCCTCCCGCCCCGTCAGAGCGAATGGAGTCGAAGTTTGGTGTTGACCCTGGCCCTTGAACTCTGAACGTAAAGCATGCAAAACGCAACCCAAACAAGATAAACTAGCCTGAGCCTCGAGGAGCAATGCCTCAATAGCAGTATAGAAGCCCAAAACAGACCCTAAACCATCCCCCCCCTAGCTCCCTGTGATCGATTCCTCAACTCCACAGACATTGAGGCTGCAGCTGTGGGCACGTCGAAGGCACCGGGATCATCAGGGTTTAGGGTTTAGGGTTTGGGGTTTGGGGTTCAGGGTTTAGGGTTTCGGGTTTAGGGTGTTGTCAGCAAGCCTGGCAAGGCATGGTCTCGCCCTGTGCGAATTGGAGAACCAAGCAGCCCTAAAACCCTAAAACCCCGAAACCCGAAACCCTAAACCCTATAAACCCTAAAACCCTAAAACCCTAAACCCCAAACCCTACACTCCAACCCCGTTAAACCGCTTACACCCTGGACGCCTAACGGGCGCAACGAACTGCACGCCCAAATCTCGCATCCCAACACCCTTTTTCCCCCCCCCCCCGAAACCAGCCAGAAGATCACTAAAATCCCAAAACTAACAACCCTGAACCCTAAACCCCCCCAAGCCGTTTAAACCCCCTAACCTCTCCCAAATCCCAAAACCGAAAACCTGCACTCCTGAACCCCCAAGCTGGAAATTAAAAAAAAAAAAAAACGAACACTAAACTTTACCAGCTTGCCAAGACTAAAAGCCCTCCCCCAAACCCAAAAGCCCCAAAAGCCCTTAAACCAAAAAACCCGAAACCCTGCAGCTTGACACCCAAAAAACCCAAAACCCTAAACCCGAAACCCTAAAACTCCACCCCGGGCCCCCCTTGCGGGAGGCGGCGCCCAAACCGCCGCCTGCAGCGGTTGCGGCGCCCCCTGCGGCGCCCCCCGCAGCGCCCGCAGCTGCCGCCGAGGCGCGGGTTTCGGGCTTGGGGTCTAGGGTTTAGGGTTTAGGGTTTAGGGCTTCGGGTTTAGGGTTTAGGGTTTAGGGTTTAGGCTTTAGGGTTTAGGGTTTATAGGGTTTAGGGTTTAGGGTGTAGGGTTGGGAGTGGGGTGAGGGGGTAACAAAAAGCACAAAAAGCAGGCGGCATTGAGGCATATAGGGCTTTAGGTTTAGGTTCTTGAAGGTCCATGGGTTGCCGGATGGTTTCTGAGTATGGCGTCAGGTTGGTCTAGAGTTTTGGACCCTGGCGCGTGGGTTTGGGGTGGGCTAAGGTTTCGCGGTTCGGTTGGGTTCGGCAGGAACTCCAATCTATACCGCTCCATGCTTTTATGGTTTCCCTCCCTAAATAGCCCTAATTATGAGGGGGGGGGACCTAGGGGGGTAGTATAGAGGGGGGTAGTAGGGGAACCCATCAACGTTTCGTACCTCTAGGTCGCCAGGCTGTGCCACACCGTGGCAGTGATTTGTCCTGGCTGCTGTTGGAAACCTGCAATCTGCGGCGTGTGAAGGGACTCTATGGTCCCTGGAAAGAGCCAGGGTTTAGGGTTTAGGGTTTGGGGTTTGGGGTTTAGGGTTTAGGGTTTGGGGTTTAGGGTTTAGGGTTTGGGGTTTGGGGTTTGGGGGTTTGAGGTCTTCGGGTTCCTGGGGTTGAGAAGCGAGAACCGCAAACCTCCGGCGATGTTTTTGTTTACACATCTTACTCCTTTAAATAGCTCTGTTGGCAACTTAAACTCCGGACATGCACCCAAGAAAACGCCTCAAAGCCCCCCGCCCGAAAACAACAATTCCCAAGCCCTAAACCCTAATTTAAGTCCCCTAAACCCTGAACCCTGAACCCTGAACCCTAAACCCTAAACCCTAAACCCTAAACCCTAAACCCTAAACCCTAAACTCTACCCTTTCTGAGATCCACCCTAGAACGCAGGGCAAGCGGCCTGCTGAGGGCGGCGAGGGCAATGCGGAGAAGAAGCCCAGGAACCGGTGCTTGGAGGTTCTGGGTACTTGTGAACCAATCTAACTGAGCTAAAACCCACTTAGAAGCCCCTTATGTGCCCTAGTATGGTTGTAATCTGGGTTAGAAGTACAGTTAGAATTGGTTGAGAAGTACCATGAACCTCCAAGTAATCCCTAAACCTGGTTCCTTGGGATGTAACACTAACAGTCCTTAGTAGGGATTATTGTTGGGGGGGGGGGGGGGGGGGGGTGTACGATATTCCCTCTTAAGGACTGTTAGAAAAAGGGGTGAACATCCCAACTGGCTCCCAATGAAAGATTTACTACTCTTTGCATAATCACCCCAATCAAATTAAGTACCATAATCCCCGTATCACCCTTCTAAGGAAGAAGGCTTTTGTGTTTTTGTCAGGGGGCTTCTTCGGCAAATAGTAGTTAAGTTTTTTGGGGTTGAATGGCTTCTCTATTTGCGGTTGCTATTTCGTGGTTCCTTCTTGTGCTGGGGGTAGGGTGGGGATTAAGACCCCATGCCCTTCATCTCGAAACTCGAAACCCTAAACCTTAAACCCTATACCTAAGTCTGTACGCCCATCGATGTTACCGCCCGGAGGGCCTTTGCGAGAGGGACCATACGGCCATCATGACAGGGTTTAGGGTTTAGGGTTTAGGGTTTGGGGTTCAGGTTTAGGGTTTAGGGGGGTTTCGGGTGTAGCGGGGGTTCACGAAATTAGGGGTACCCTTTTGGGGGGATTCCTTCTAAAGGAATCCTACTATTTGGGGATCTATAGTGGGTTCCCTTATGTTCGTAAGCAGCAACAGCATGAGTACCAACTTTCTCGTTCTTATGAATAGCAGGAGTAGGGTTATGGGAATGGGAGTAGCTGTAGCGAAAGTCTGGCAGTGCTGTAGAAGCAGCAGTAGTAGACAAACGGAACGCTCACCGAAATGCTCCCATACTTCTGTCAGCCGTCCATCCACGCAAACTCTCCGTAAACCCTGAACCCTAAACCCTAACCCTAAACCCTAAACCCTAAACCCTAAACCCTAAACCCTAATCTCCAGGAACGAACAAGAAGCGGCAATGCTTGGGCGGATGCTTATGCAGGCCATCTGCAGGTGTTCGGGTTGCTCCTTCAGTTCCTTACTTTCCACTTCTTCAAGGGGACTAAGGATTGAGGTACTATCCCATGCTGTTGGGTGCCTAAACCCTAAACCCTAAACCCTAAACCCTAAACCCTAAACCCTAAACCCTAAACCCTAAACCCTAAACCCTAAACCCTAAACCCTAAACCCTAAACCCTAAGCCTAAGAACCAGTAAGCTGGGTTTAGTGGTTAAGGCTTAAGGGTTTCGGTTGTTTGGGGGTGCCGCCTTCTGTGGCCTGCGCAGTGAATCGGTTCCAAGTACCTCAGCATTGTGTCAACGGGGCTCAGGTTTAGGGTTTAGGGTTTGGGGTTTAGGGTTTAGGGTTTAGGGTTTAGGGTTAGGACTCGAGGGTCAGGGGTACCTCAAGGTCCCAGTAGCGGGAGCCCTCGTATGCTGGGGGCAGGCTGTAAGCCTGAGCCAGAAGAAGCTAAACAAAAACAAACCCCTACATGAACCCCTAAACCCTCAAGAACCGAAGCTTATGCCCTATTCCTGAGAGATCTTAAGCTGCTTGGGTTCTCGGGATTGTCCAGTTCGGAGGGTTTAGGGTCCAGGGTTGGGTGTGGGGTTTGAAGGTGGTTTGGAAGCTTTTGAGGTTTTCAAATCTTTTCGGGGTTTTGAGGGTGGGGGTGTACCCTCAACTTTCGCCCTGCACCCCAAAGAGCTTAGGTTAGGGAACCATCGGTCCAAAACGCCCAGGGCGTGGTCAGAGTCCTGCAGAACCGCGCCAAGAACAACCAGGGAGTACCAGACTCGGGTAGTGAATGGGGGGAGCGGGGGAGTTTGGGGTTTAGGGTTTAGGATTTAGGGTTTGGTTTTGTTTTTTGGGTTTAGGGTTTAGGGTGTAGGGGGCTTTACCCTAAATTTTACTGTTCAGAATTCAGGGAAGATGCCTCTGTGCATGGACATATTTCGGAGTCCCTACTTGGAGGTTCAGGGCACTTATTAACCAATTACAACCGTACTTCTAATCCACTTATGAGCCCCTGAAGTGCCCAAAGATGCTTGGTATTTGGGGTTCTAAGCACAGTCATAATTGGTGAAGAAGTACCATGACCCTTCAAGTAGGCATGGACATAAGTCGGAGTCCCGGCATCTCGAAGTGCCAGTGTCCGAAACCCGAAGTGCTAAACCCCGAGCCCTAGCCCTAAACCCTAAACCCTAAACCCTCAACCTTGAACCCAGAACCTTTAAAGCCTTGAGCCTCAGCCGCCCCGTCAACCTCCCCAAGATCCTAATCCCTAAAGCCCAAATGGATCCATGACAAGACCAAAACTGCGGGTGTACTGAGGGTTTAGGGTTAGGGTTTAGGGTTTAGGGTTTAGGGTTTAGGGTTTAGGGTTTAGGGTTTAGGGTTTAGGGTTTAGGGTTTAGGGTTTAGGGTTTAGGGTTTAGGGTTTAGGGTTGAGGGTTTAGGGTGTGCAAATCGTATTCTTTTCGTAGGCCGCGTGCGAGGCGGTCAGGGGCCCACGGCCGGCACGGCCAATAATGAATCCAGGTCGTTGAGGACGTGGGCTCGGATACAACACAATTTCCGAATCCTCCAACTTCCTTCGGGGAACAAACCCTAAACCCGAAATTTAACCCCTAAACCCTAAATTTAAACCCTAAACCCTATATAAACCCTAAACCCTAAATTTAAACCCTAAACCCTAAACCTTTCTTTTTCAACCCGAGGTTTTAGCCAGCTGCTTGGCCATTTTGCCCGTGCAGTTGGAAGCTTGCTGCCGTGCAGACGGGAGTGTCTCAAGATGGCCATGATCCCCTGCTGCGTTTTTCACTTGGCAGCACCAGACCAGGCATGAGGGCCCTAATCCCTAAACCCTAAACCCTCAACCCTAAACCCTAAAACCTAAACCCTAAACCCGTGCCTAAACCCTACAACTGAAAGCTAAGACCCTGAAACTCTAAAGCCGACAGCCCTAAAAACCCATAACCCTAAACCCTAAAACCCTAAACCCTACCAGGACCCCCCAACTAGCCCCGCCATGATTCCCGAAGTACCCTGCGACTGTGGGCCCAGACGTCACTCTTCACGATTACTTGGGGGGTTGGGGTTTCGGGCTGAGGGTTTGGGGTTTAGGGTTTAGGGCTAGGGTTTAGGGCTAGGGTTTAGGGTTTAGGGCTAGGGTTTAGGGTGGGGATCCAGCCTCTCCGCACCCTTCGCAAGTACAGCGCTCAGGCGCTGCCCCTGGCAGATCTGGAGGGGGAGTTCAAGGCGCAACGTGCAACCCCCGGAAACTTGGGTGCTTAGCACCCCAGCCCTGTTTAGGGTTTTAGGGTTTTTTGGGTTTCAGGGTTTTGGGGTTTTCGGGTTTTGGGGTTTTAGGGTGTTAGGGTTTTAGGGTTTTAGGGTTTCAGGGTGTTAGGGTTTTAGGGTTTTAGGGTGTAGTTAGGGTGGTTCGTGAGGCCTGGACTTCGGGCTTTGGTGTTCCTAGACCCTAAGCCCTAATCTCTAATGCCAAAACAGGGCCGCCTGTCACGCACCCCAAAATATCAGAATTCTTACTCCATGTCATATATAGGAAATCCCCAAGAAGGGTACTGTATCCTTGTTTTCCGAGGCGCCCAAACAACTTTAAGCCCCAAACCCCGAAACCCGAAATCTGAGACAAGCTCAGCGCTTGTTTAGAGACGCAGGGAAACTGACCCCTAAGCCCTAAACTTCCTAAACCCTATTCCCCATGCTATCAGTTGCAATGCATCTTGGGCATTCCTCACTTGAGGCCACGTGCATACACCATTTTGGTGTCAATCCCACATTCATTCCGACTTCAATACCGCAAGCCGTGGAGTGGCGAGCAATCCGAATGGACATTGGTCCGATGCTAATTTGGGCATCCTAATACTTCATGTTCTCAAGGAGTGGAGACACGTCCTCTTGTCTGACTGCAGTTTCGCCGTGCTCAGTCACAACTTGAGAAGGGCCTCCGCTTGGGTCGCACAAGCATTCCTGCAAACCCGTAGTCACCATGGGCCTGCGTCATCCATGCGAAGCCAGTTGCCCTAAACCCTAAACCCTAAACCCTAAACCCTAAACCCTAAACTCTTACCTCTCATTCGCACTCATGCGCTCAACCTGGAGCCCAGATGAACCCACATAGCTCTAAGCCCTTTTAGACCTTGGTATTTGGTAGGCCCCCCCCCCCCCCCCCCCCCCCACGATTGTGTGTTAGTGCTGTTCCGGGCGTGGAGTTTATGTAGGACATTGGGAAATATTTGCAACTTGCTCAAATTTGCAAATTTGAGTATGTCCCAACATGTGGTTGCCCCCAAACCCCAAACCCCAAACCCCAAACCCCAAACCCTAAACCCTAAACCCTGAACCCTAAACCCTGAACATACTCCCTCCTGAGACCCTAGAACCTTCTAGACTGCTGAAGAGAGGAGCTCTGGAAAGTCCCCTTCAACGTGAAGGAGGCTGGCACAGGGGGCTTCGGAGGGTACACATTAGGGGTTTAGGTTTAGGGTTTAGAGTTTAGGGTTTAGGGTTTAGGGTTTAGGGTTTAGGGTTTAGGGTTTAGGGTTTAGGGTTTAGGGTTTAGGGTTTAGGGTTTAGGGTTTAGGGTTTGGGCCTAGGGGGGCCATATGCCCCCAAGCCCCTAACCCACCTACCCTACCTAAGCGCCAGAACCTTAGGGTTCATAAACCCCCGCATCCTAAGTCCCCAAGCGCTGAATCCCCAAGCAGTCACCAGCCACCCCTCAGGAGCACCTGAAGGCTTCGTCAGTCTTTACTTGACCCAGGTTTTTGGTTTTAGGGGTTTAGGGCTTCTGGGTTCAGGGTTTCTGGGTTTGGAGCTTAGGGTTGAAGGTTTAGGGGTTTAGGGTTTAGGCTGTAGGGTTTAGGGTTCCTAGCAGTACCCACACATCGCAGTTGCACTTATGGTTATCTGAACAGCTGTGTTGTAGGTTGGAGGCGGGGGGTGCCAACAACAAGTGAACCTTAATTCTTAACAGGGGCCTCATATAATTAGGCCCATATAAGTTCAGAGCCTAAACCCTAACCCCTAAACCCTTAACCCTTAACTCTTAACCCTTAACCCTTAAACCCCTAAACTAAACCCTCACCCCTAACCCCCAGAATTTATCGCGTCTTGGACAGTGTGCAGGCCGGCGAAACCGACGTCCTCTCCTTCCTGCGCAAGTGGCCGGGGAAGGCAACGCAGAAAGGAGGGCTTCACGTGCCTAAAATGACCTAAAATGACCCAAAATGTCCTAAACAGACCTAATAAAATGACCTAAACTGACCTAAAATGACCTAAAATGGTTCATGACGGTCCACCCCTAAGCCCTAACCCAGAGTTTCGGGCTCAGGCTTACAGGCTTGAGGGGGCCCAGTCTAGCAGCTCTACTAGTTCTGCACTTTGCGTGCTTAGTTCCTCTTCAGTGCCAGAATCAGAATCGTGCCGTGAACCCGTCGTCGAGTTCTCGGACCCGGCGCTTAAGCTTACTGTTGGGTAGTAGGGAATGAGGGAATGAGGTACCCTATATCCTCCTTTATATACCCTTTAAGGGTTTATATAGGGTACCTCATTCCCTCATTCCCTCATTCCCTCATGCCCTACTAACCAGCAGTAAGTAAGTTAGGAGGGCCAGAGCCTCAACAGCCATCCCACCTTGATCTGAACGGTGGCACCTTGGGATGTTGCCCCCTATACTAACAGTCCTTAGTAGGGATTAGAGTTCCCCCCATTACAAACACCCTATTAAGGGCTGTTAGTATAAGGGGGAACGTTCCAAGTGGTACCCTGAAGTCCCCAACACATGCTTGCCAAACCCAGGGTGTTCTTTCGTGGGGCGGACTGGGCGGAATTGAAACAAGGGAAGGAGACTTCAACCCCAGTCCCTAAACCTTTAGGGTTTAGGGTTTTGGGTTTAGGGTTTGGGGTTTAGGGTTTAGGGTTTAGGGTTTAGGGTTTAGGGTTTAGGGCAACCCGACACCCCAACTCAATCTTCCCCATCTTCACCCCACTGCAGCAGGTGGAGCTGCAGAAGGACAATGACTCCTGGAAGGCCTCCCTAAACCCTAAACCCTAAACCCTAAACCCTAAACCCTAAACCCTAAACCCTAAACCCTAAACCCTAAACCCTAAACCCTAAACCCTAAACCCTAAACCCTAAACCCTAAACCCTAAACCCTAAACCCTAAACCCTTGGAGGGTCCTTAACTTAGTAGCTCAATGAGTGCACGTTGCACTTTTTGGGTTTGGGGCTTAAGGTTTAGGGTTTAAAATTTAGGGTTTAGGGTTTTATTCTCTAATCCCCTCTAGAACTGAAAGTGCACACTGTTTCGGGGCTTATGAACTCAGCAACTAAGTTAAGTCATTCCGCCCCGCAGCTTCCCCCCCCCCCCCCGTTCGCCCCTCGGGAACCCCGATTCGAGAAGTCCCCTGCAGAAATTAGGATTCCTGATTTAGGGTTGGGTATGGTTCGGTCCAGGAAAACCCAACAGGAATAGCGGAAAACCTAATAGGGGGTATGGTTTCAAGGGAGTAGAGAGTATAAGGGTTCAACGGGGGGCCACAGAGGCTGAACAAGTCTTGCCCTAGTATCCCTTTTGGTACATCTTTTGTGGGAGGGGGTGTGGGGGGCACGTGCGCGAGATGATTTAAACTAAGCCCCCAGAAGTTCCAACCCTCAACCCTTACTAAACCCTAAAACCATCCTGACCCTTAAACCCCAAACCGAAGCCCAAATTTCCCCCCCCCCCCCCAACCCAGCCAGCCCAGCCCCCCCACTTCGTCCTGCCTTGTGCCACAGGGGGAGTCCGGCCCTCCTAAGCCCTGAGCCCTACAACCCCCAAATCCCTAAGCCCCCCAAAACCCTAGATACATCAACCCTAAACCCCTTAAGCCCTAAACCCCAAACCCTTAGCCCCTTAACCTCTAAACCCCTCAACCCTAAACCCCTGAGACTCCTAACCCTTAAGCCCCTAAGCCCCCAAAACCCCTAAATCCCCTAAAACCCCCGAACCCTGAAAACCCTAAACCTAAACTCTCAAACCCCAAACCCTAAAACCCCTAAGCCCCTAAGACCCTGATGTGTCCTTGCGCGCCAGCTCGCGCTCCCGAAGAAGCCGGCGGGGCCCACCGCAGCCAAGTCCGCCCCTTCGCCAAAAAATGGCCTCGGGGGTTCACCGCGGAGAGGGGGGGGGGGGTAGGGTTTGGGGTTTGGGGTTTGGGGTTTAGGGTTTGGGGTTTAGGGTTTAGGGTTTAAGGGGTTCGGGGATTAGGAATCGATGGCGCAGTTCTAACCTAGGTAGCTATAATCGCAACAACGCAAAATACCGGATCGAACTAAGTACTCTTTATCATCTGTATATATATACACACATAAATATAAAATTATAAATATAAACATCAGTATCGATATAACTATAAATATAAATACAAATATACGTATACATATAAAATATAAATATAACTATAAATAAGTAAATTTATACATATATATATATATATGTATATCTGTCTACATTTTTGGTGCTTTGCGTGGGAGGGTAAGAGTTGAAGTTCAGGGTTTAAGGGGCAGACCTGAATCTGGTCGGTTCTTCTTTTTTCTTTTGCTTCATCTGATGAGGTTTTGGGGTTAGGGTTTAGGGTTTAGGGTTTAGGGTTCAGGGTTTAGGGTTTAGGGTTTCGAGTATGGCCCGGCCGCGTGTCGCTTGGAGGTCGCTGAGATGTCGAAGGTACTGAGTAGCCCAGGAGTTCCCTTTACCCTTTTTTGGGTTCTGGGTTCGTTTATAACCCTGAAACCTAAGACCTAACCCCAAACCCTAAACCCTAAACCCTAAACCCTAAACCCCAAAAAGGGTGCCCTTATTATAACATGGTTACTGGGCTACAAGGGGGGACTGAGTGGGTAAATTCCGCGACTCTCCCAATTCAAGAAGGTCGCTGCGTGGCTAAGCCCTAAACCCTAGCCCTAAACCCTAAACCCTAGCCCTAAACCCTAAATCCTAACCCAGCATCGTTGCCGCGCGCTCCTCAGGCTCCAGGCGCGCCTCCAGCGGAAACGGCTCCCAAGGCTACGCGGAGGGTTTAGGGTTTAGGGTTTAGGGTTAGGGTTTAGGGTTTAGGGTTTAGGGTTTAGGGTTTAGGGTTCAGGCGTTTAGGGTTTAGGGTTTTGGGGCTTTGGGCCTTTTGCCCTAGGATGTTGGGCTTGGGGAAGTTGAGGGTTTGTTGGGGTTTTAGGGAGGTTCTCGGCAGCTGTTCAGGCGGCTGCTGTTTTTCTCACACACGCAGGGTGTTAAGGGTTCTGTGGCTTCAGTGACATTCCGGGGTCAAGAGCCGTTTTCAGGTTTAGGGTTTAGGGTTTAGGGTTTAGGGTTTAGGGTTTAGGGTTTAGGGTTTAGGGCTACAACAACTTCAGCCCCACGAGGCCTCCCCCGACGTGCCACCGCCGACGCCGGCCCCTGTGCCCGTGGCACCGCCCCCACCAGCGGCGCCGAAGAAGGGAGGCGGGAGGTTAGGGGGTCTTTGGTATTTAGGGTTTAGGGTTTAGGGTTAGTTTGGGGTGTAGGGTTTAGGGTTTAGGGTTTAGGGTTTGGGGTTTGGGGTTTGGGGTTTGGGGTTTGGGGTTTGGGGTTTGGGGTTTGGGGTTTGGGGTTTGGGGTTTGGGGTTTAGGGCCTAGGGTGTGGGTTTGGCGAATCCAACTGGGCCTGAACCCTACTAGTAGGACCAATTTCGAAAGAAAATGCTGGCTGTTGCCACCAAGCGAGCGTCGGGTTTTGGGGCTTAGGGTGTAGGGTTTACCGCAAACCCTTGTCTATGAGGATCCGGAGAAGCCCGAATTCAAAATCCCAAAGCCTGACCACAAATCTGTTGACTTCCCGAAAGGCATCGCAGCAACACCCTAAACCTGCAAAGTTGCACCCAAGAGTCCTCATGTCTTTTGCAACTAAGGGTTTAATGCTTGGAGGTTTGGGGTTTGGGGTTGAGGACGGGGGTTGTAACCCGGGGTTGTACTTAAGTCAGGACAAAGATATCGTTCGAGGTCTCTTCCTTTCTCACCTGAGTTACGGAATGCACGTAGTAGACCCCTTTTGTCGCTTAGGACATAATGTGGATAAGGAAATATTCCTTATCCCTGAACCCCCAAATCCTAAAGGCTCAGACTCAAGGCCCTTAGTCATGAATAGACACCTTCTATTCGTGTAAGGTTGATTCCTTCCCCTCCGAGCCCAAACCTTAAACTCGATTGCTCGTCTTTACCCGAATCCTTGAACCCTTGCAAACCCCAGACCCTATTCCTCAATGGGGGTTTTGATAAGGGACCCCGAATATAGACCCCAAATAGTAGGCTTCCCTTGTAAGGAGGACGCCAATAGTATCATAAACCCCCAAATTACCCTAAGCCCGAAACCCTAAACCCCTAACCCCGAACCCCTAAACCCCTAACCCCTAACCCCTAAACCCCAAACCCCAAACCCCTAACCCCTAACCCCTAAACCCTAAACCCTAAACCCTAAACCCTCTTCCGAAGTTGGGGGGCTCCCTGCGACAGGGCCCCCGTCTCGCCCCCCGACGAGCATCGAAGACTTCTTGTGGCTTCCTGGCCATGATCCGGGGTTTAGGGTTTAGGTTTAGGGTTTCGGATTTCGGGTTTGGGGTAAGTTTAGGGTTTAGGGTTTAGGTGGTCTTCGGGGTTTAGGGGTTTAGGGTATTCTGGGTTTAGGGTATTAGGGGTTTAGGGTAGTAGGGCGTAGGGTTCAGGGTTTAGGAGGTTTAGGGTGTTGGGGCTTTGGGGTTTAGGTCCTTAGCGGGTTCGGGGCTAGGGCCCTAAACCCTAAACCCTAAACCCTAAACCGGGCTTAGGGGACTAGATAAAGGTTTGACGGAGGGTTCCGCCAGCCACATGGGCCGGGGGTAAGCCCTCAACCCTGAACTCTAACGTTCCCCAAACCCTAAACCCTAAACCCCAGACCCCAAACCCCAAACCACAAACCCAAACCCCAAACCCCAAACCCCAAAACCCAAACCCCAAACCCCAAACCCCAAACCCCAAACCCCAAACCCCAAACCCCAAACCCCAAACCCCAAACCCCAAGCCCCAAACCCTAAACCCTAAACCCTCAACCCTCAACCCTAAACCCGAACCCAGGCAGGGTCCGTGGCGTTTGAAATTCGCCATGGACTGCGGCACGCGAGCTGCACAAACGGATCCAACGGCATGCTGGCGTCACGCACGGAGCGCCTGTTGATCCGTGTCTGGCTCCCACACCAGCCAATTCTTGAAGGCGATGCTGGCAGGGCAGCCTTTCCGGATCTGCCGCATCTCATGCAGCAGGCTTCTTATGCTGCGCACTCCCTAGTCCGCCGGATGTCTGAATTGGAGGTGGCTACGAGCTTCGGGCCCACTTAGGAGTCAGGAGCATGAGACGCGGTGTCCTGGGGTTCATGGGGGGGTAGGTACCTCTAGGGAACCGTAGAGAAGCTTAGGCAGCCCTATACCCTAAACCCTAAACCGCGCGCATAATTTTGGGATCCGAGGGTTTATAGAGTTTATAGGGTTTAGTGGTTTATGGGTTTTGGGTTAGGTGTTTAGGGTCTGGGGAAGTACGGGTGTCAGGGGTTTGAGTTTTAGGAGTTAGGGGTATCAGGGTTTGGTCCTTAGGTTTTGGCGGTCTAGCTGTCCAGGGGTTAGGGTGTCTAAGGTATACTTGGAGGTTCAGGGTACTGATTAGCCAATTATAATTGTACGTACAACCCACTTATAAGCCCCTTAAGTGCCCTAATATGGTTATATTTTGGGTTAACAGTACAGATACAATTGGTTAATAAAAGTACAGATGCAATTGGTTAATAAGTACCATGAACCTTCATTCACGTCGTGTCTAGAGCTTTAGGGGTTTAGGGGTTTAAGATTTTGGGGGGGTTAGCGGTTTAGGGGTTTAGGGTCCATAAGGTAGGCGCTTAGGGGTTCAAGATTGACGTGTTTAAAACCCTAAACCCTAAACCCTGAACCCTGAACCCTAAACCCTAAACCCAGGGTACAGGGTTTGTGCATTCAAGTGGGGGCTTTGGGGGGCTTTGGGGTTTCGTGTCGACTTCCATGCGGTCATGCCACTCCCAGTGGTCCCAGGTTCCCTGGGCAGGGCAAGAGCCTCCGTCCCCCCCCCCCCCTCCCCCCCCTTTATAAGACCCTGCTTATTCATAAGACCCTGCTTATTCATAAGACATAAGATCCTGATAATTCATAAGACCCTGATTACTCAGGATTTAGGGGTGTAGGGCTTCCAGGGTTTTAGGGGTTTGGGGTTCAGGGTTTTTATGGGTTTAGTTAGGCCTTAAAGGTTTATAGGGCTTTAAGGGGTGTCGGGAAGCCTGAATGCCCAAGCGCCCTGCCCAGGAACATGCACAGCCTTCTCCACGCCACGGAAGGCCGCGTTTCTGGGTTTAGGGTTTGGGGTTTAGGGTTTAGGGTTTAGGGTTTAGGGTTTAGGGTGCTACCCCCGCAGTGTTCCGAGGACTTTGGGTTGAGGGTTTGGGAAGCTTCCCCCCTAAAGCCCTAAAACTAACAAGCCCTCCCTAAGCCCGAAACCCGAAACCCTAAGCTTAAACCACACAAGCTCTGCGAAGCCCTCTGGGCTTGGGTGCCTGGAGAGACTCTAAACCCTACTCGAAACCGTAAACCCTAAACCTAAACCCTCAACCCGAACGCGAAGCCTCTCTAATCGGGGTAGAGGCCCTGGCTCCTTCTTGGCCAGGCGGTTTCACTCGATGTTGGGTACAGTGCGAGCGTTGGTTAAGAATGTGCAAGGGTCTGGTCAGGGGGGGGCTCAGATTCTTAACTAGAGAACGACTTGTTCAGTGTGCATTTTGATGTTCTTCCGGCTTCAGGGGGGCTCAGAATCTTAGCACATTCTTAAGTGGGATTCGAGCCAGCATCCTTACGACTTACGGAAGACGCTGTAGCCACTAGCCCAAAGCATTCTTTCACACATAACTCTGCTGTAAGGGCTCAGATTCTTAACTTGGAGGTTTCTGAGGCGACCGCTTGTGTACAGCCTATGCAAGCTCAGAATCTAGGGGCTCAGACTCTTAATTTGGAAGTTTTTGATTTTGTGCACAGCTTTCGCAAGCTAAGAATCTGAGGGGCTGAGATTCTTAGCGAGCTAAGAACCTGAGCCCCTCAGATTCTTAATTTGGAGGTTTCTGAACTCAATCCCTTTCAGGTAATGCAGTCCTGAAACGCCTGAACCCTCAACCCCGAAACTGCTACAAGAAGGGAGCGCGCGAACAGGCAGGGGCCTATTGCTTGAGCTTTTTTCTGATTGTTTGGGGCCAAAGCTTCACAAGCTAAGAATCTGAGGGGCTCAAGTTCTTAGTTGGGGGTTTCTGTGATTTGGGCCTGCTTGAGCAAAAGATTACAAGCTAAGAATCTGAGGGGCTCAGATTCTTAATTCGGGGTTTTCTTTTGGCGCCTGCTTGTGTAAAAGCTTTACAAGCTAAGAATCTGAGGGGCTCAGATTCTTAATTCGGGGTTTTTCCTTTGGCAGCTGCTTGTGTAAAAGCTTTACAAGCTAAGAATCTGAGGGGCTCAGATTCTTAATTCGGATTTTTCCTTCGGCATCTGAGGGGCTCGGTTCTTAACTGGAGGTCTGTGATTTGTGTGCCAAAGCTTACAAGCTAAGAACCTGAGGGACTCAGATACTTAATTCCTTGTGTTTAAAAGCTTTACAACCTAAGATTTTCGAGTTGTCGTGAGTGGAACTGGATTAAGAATGTGCCCTCAGATTTCAGGGGGGGCTCAAATTCTTACGTCAACGGCACCCATTAAGGGGCGGAAACAATCCAATGCATAAGAAATTTCAGCCCCTCAAATTCTTAAGCAAGGAATTCTTAAGCAATACTCCCGCTGTAGTGTTGGGGGTTGGTGGTGGAATGCTACACCCTATAGAACCCTAAGCCCCAGAACGCAAAGCCCTTAAACCCTAAATCCTTCAAGTCCTAGAACCCCAGAACCCTACGTGCCAAAGCCCTAACTCCCTAAAACCCTTAACCCCAAACCCTAACCCTTAACCCTTAACCCCTAACCCCTAACTCCCAAAACCCTAACCCCTAAACCCCTAAACCCTTAAACCCCTAAACCCCTAAACCCCTAAACCCCTAAACCCACCCCTAAACCCTAAACCCCTAAACCCCTATAACCCCTATAACCCCTATAACCCCTATAACCCCTATAACCCCTATAACCCCTATAACCCCTATAACCCCTATAACCCCGATAACCCCTATAACCCCTATAACCCCTATAACCCCTAACCGCTAAACCCCTAGAAGCAAGCTCTGGAGCGGAGGTCCTCTGGAGCTGGTGAACTTGAGAGACCAGTACCACAAGCATCACGGGCACAAGCAGCCTGGCTGACAGTTCCCCCACACTTGGGTTTGGGGTTTGGGGTTTAGGGTTTGGGGTTTGAGGTTTAGGGTTTAGGGTTTGGGGTTTAGGGCTGAGGGTTTAGGGCTCTGGGCCCGGAAGCTTTTGTACATTGGGGTTGAGGGTTCAGGGTTTGACAACCCTGAGCCCCCAAAACCCTGAACGCTTCGAAACCTTAAGCTTGCAAGGCAGGGTTTGGGGGCTTAGCGTGTGCACCCAGCCAGCGTAAACCCCATCGAAACACAACACTCTTCAGCCCTAAGCCCTACAACCCTAAAAGCCCTAAGCCCTAAAACCCTCAAAAGCCCTAAACAACCCTAAACCCTAAGCCTCCAGCCCTAAACCCTAAACCCCAAACCCTAAACCCTAAACCCTAAACCCCGGCTTCAAGGTGCAACATCGAGCGGTTCCTCGTGGTGGGCGAGGGCGGCATCGGCGCCACACTGAAGAGGCCCACGCCCGGTTCTCCCCCCCCCCCCCCGCAAACCTTCAGTGACCCTAATACCCTGAGCCATAACCCTAAACCCTAAACACCCCAAACACCCCTAAACACCCCTAAACCCCTAAACACCCCTAAACACCCCTAAGACCCTGACCCCCGTCACTTGGGGATGTCTCTCGGTTTGTTTAAGGGCTCACGGCCTAGGGTTTCGGGTTTAGGGTTCAGGGCTTAGGGCTTAGGGCTTGTAGGGCCTAGGCTTTAGGGCTTCGGGCTTATAGGGTTCAGGGTTTAGGGTTGAGGGCTAGTCGGGTTGAGGACCAGGGCGGCTTATACGGCTTAGCGCTAGGGTTTTCAGGGCGTGTCCGGTTCAGGACCTAGGGTTTAGGGCTTCTCAACCCAACGGTCTAACCCTAAGCGCCCTAAAGCCCCAAGCCCTCAAACAAAAGCACCCTGAACCTGTGGGTTATCCTCCCTCTGGAGCCTCTCCTGCTGTATGGCTCTCAGACTGCTTTCTACGGTTTAGTTGGGGGTTTAGGGTTAGGGTTTAGGGCTGTGGGCTGAGGGTTTAGGGCTTCGGGGTTCAACGCCTGCGTAAGCCCGGAGACTGCAAGATGTCTCCATGTCAAAAGCAGTCCTTCAGTTTGTTCAAAGCCTACCTACACCCTAAACCCCCTAAACCCTAAACCCTAAACCCTAAACCCTAAACCCTAACTCTACTTCATGTAGGGGTTTCGTGCTTAACGGTTTGGGAGTTCTGGGCGAATCAGGGCAGCCGTGCACCCTAAGAACACAAAACCCCCAAATCCTACAACAACTATTTTCTTAGACATAGGTTGCCCCCGATGTGCACCCTAAGAACACAAAACCCCCAAATCCTACAACAACTATTTTCTTAGACATAGTGTGCCCCCGATATTACCTGGATAAGGATGATGCCTTACACAAAATAAGGGTCCTGGTTTTTTGAATTGTATAAGCTGGGGTTCATCTGGTATCCGTGTTCACTTATCGTGGGCCCTACTCGCTTTTCAACCTTCTATACCTCACGCAAGCTTGCTTTTATATGCAAGCTGGGGTTGATCTGGGATCCGTTTTCAGAGTCGCAATTCAACCTTATATACCTCACGCAAGCTTATGCTTCTCGGGCGCCCCCCCCCCCCCCACCCCAAAACCAAAAAAAAAAAACACTCCAGCAAGGCTCAGTAAAGTAGTTCCCTAAAACCCAAAACCCTGAACCCTAAAAACCTAATCCAAATTCCTAAACCCTTTTTACCCTATGACCCTAAACCCTACAACCCGAAACCCTAAGCCCCAAATCTAGCCGCTTTGGTGCCCTTCGGGTACATGAAGTCTCATGGCACTTCTTAACCAATCAAGACCTGTACTTATTACCCAAGCTACAACCATATTAGGGCACTTAAGGGGCTTACAAGTGGGTTATAAGTACAGTTGTAATTGGCTAATGCTAAACCTAAACCCTAAACCCTAAACCCTGAACCCTAAACCCTAAACCCTTAAACCCTAAACCCTAAACCTTGAACCTCCAAGTAGAGAGCGGGGCAGGATCCCGCACGTTGTCGACGTCTACGTGGAGTCGGGCACGACCTACGTCAAGGCGTCGCAGCCTGGAGGCCACCTTAGGGCTTAGGGCTTAGGGTTTAGGGTTTAGGGTTTAATTAGGGTTTAGGGTTTAGGGTTTAGGACATAGGGTTTGGGTTTAGGGCTTAGGGTTCAGGGTTGAGGGTTTAGGGTTTAGGGTTTAGGGCTTAAGGCTTAGGGTTTAGGGCTGAGGCCCTTGGAACGCGTAAGTCCTTGGCCCTAAACCACCACTCTACCTGTTTCCGTGCTGCTTCTTTGACAGAGAAATCGACGATTTGCCTTTGTCAAATCCTCCGAGGCTAAGTCGCGCAGGGCCTCCGGACTCAGAGGCGAACACCGTGCCGTGTTCCTTCCAATCCAATCCCTGGACATGCGCAATAAGCCTTCGAGTTTAGGGTTTAGGGTTTAGGCTTAGGGTTTAGGGCTACCCTGAAGGGCAGAAAAGCGCACGGACATTAGCGTGGCTGCAGCCGTGCTTCTTGGTTGACGTCGGGCGGTGCGGGGACTGGACGGCCGAATGGCTTCGCAAACCCTAGACCCTAGACCCTAAACCCTAAACCCTAAACCCTATAGACCCTAAACCCTAAACCCTAAACCCTAAACCCTAAACCCTAAACCCGAATCATCATTCCCTTTTACTCTTAGGCTACTGGGCAGCCTCGTAGCTTTTCGGATCCTCGTGGGCTGTTTCTTTGGCTCTTCCTTGCGCCGCAAGAGGCTGTGAGGAAGGGTTTTTGCTTTAGGGGAATACTCTGGAACCGTAGAACCTGAACCCTAAATCCTAAATCCTAAACCCTAAACCCTAAACCCTAAACCCTAAACCCTAAACCCTACACCCTAAACCAACATCAAGTTGCCTTAACTAGAGGCGGAAGGCCTGGAGCTCTCAAGAAAAGTCCCCTTAACCCTTCAGCCCCTGAAACCGCAAGCCCTGGGCAGTGGTTCCGGCATCCGCAAACCTCTGAGAGCAAACCCCCCCCAATACTCCTTCAAATGATGAACCCTAAACCCTAAACCCTAAACCCTAAACCCTAAACTTTAAGCCTTAATTAAACCCTACCTCAATCCTTGAATCCTAACCTTGATCCTTCATAGGTCACGAATTTGTGCAGGGGGCTAGATGGGGCATTCAGCCCTCAACCCTACACGCAAAACTGAACCCTTTGCAACACCTAAACCCGAAGCCCCTGCTTTGAACCTAAGCGACGCCCTACTGCAAACCTTAGACCCCTACCCCTCAACCCGAAACCCCCTAAACCCTAAACCCTAAACCCCTATCCCTCAACCCGAAACCCCCTAAACCCTAAACCCTAAACCCCTATCCCTCAACCCGAAACCCCCTAAACCCTAAACCCTAAACCCTAAACCCCTATCCCTCAACCCGAAACCCTAAATCCTAAATCCGAAACACCAACCTCGAAACCCTGAACCCCGAAACTTAAGCCCGGGTGGGGGGGCCCTTCACCGTCGCAGACATCGACCGGGCCCAGCTCATCGAAGAGGCGGGGTTTAGGGTTTAGGGTTTAGGGGTAGCGGGGGAAGCCCAGGGCTTAGGGGGGTTTAGGGTTCGGGGTTTAGGGTTTGAGGCTCAGGGTTTACTATTTCGGGCTTACTGTTAGGGTTAGGGGGCTTACGGGCTTAGGGTTGCTTGTTTAGAGTCTAAGATCGAAGAAAACCCCAATCCACGAACCCTAAACCCTAAACCCTAAATACCAAATACCCTAAGCCCTAAGCCCTAAGCCCTAAACCCTAAACCACATTTTTTCCTAGGTTACTCTTGGGTCTAGTGCTACACTAAAGCAGGGTTCCAACTACGGTTGCCTTAGTAACCGCACTTCTGACCCAAGTTGCCACGCCGACCCCAAACCCTGAACGCTAACCCTAGGGTTTAGGGTTAAGGGTTTTGTAGGATCCCAGAGTCAGGGATGATCAGCATCAGAAGAAGCAGATCGTGGACTTTCCCGCAGGGTTTTCTGCAGCCATGGCTTGCATTCGTGACAAGCGCCCGTACACTGGGTACTGTGTTCAACGAGCTGATCCGCAGCGTGATACTGGAGACCCTGCTTCTGGAAGCAACACTGAGCCTGGAGCCTCGGGTTCCTGGCATCCTGGTCTGCTGCAGCACCTGGTCGTGTGCTGAGTCGCGCGCAGTCTCTGGGCGGTGATGGTTGAAAACTCGGAAACGCTAAATCATGCTTAGAAGACCCTAGCCACCCTGCTAAACACCCGAACCCTAGAAGATGCCGAAACCTACTTAAAGCCCTAACTAAGCCCCCCTAAAACCCTCAAACCTAAACCCCAAAAATCCAATAATTTGCCCTCAGGACAAGCGGTACCGGCGGGAGATCGCATCTCGGAACGCCGCCAAGGCTGGGTTTGTTCAAGGTTTATCGGGGTTTAGGGTTTAGGGTTTAGAGTTTAGGGTTTCGTTTCTCTTTTTTTTTTCTCCTTTGTTTTGGTGCCTTCAGGGTTAGCTGCTTAGGGTTGAGGGTTTTGGCCTCTTGGCCACAGCATCTTAATGGATTAGGATGTAGGTTGGGGTGTGAGAGGGGCTGGATCATAAGCCGGCTTTTGATGACGGAAGCTTGCTGAGGCGCTGTGCCTCTGTAATTCGATCATGCTGGCGCGTTGAGACTCAACACAAACGTGTACCGGCCCAAACAACGCCAGAGAGATCCCTTTCGCACTCCACATGCGCCCCCAGATGCAAGAAGGACGCGCCACTTGAATCAGACAGATTGAGATGTTCCCCTTATACAAACAGTCCTTAATGGGGACTATAGTACCCCGAGTAGAATCCCTATCAAGAATTGTTTGTATTGCACTCGCTGAGCAAGCGCGGAAAGCCATCCCGACTCTCAGCGCTCTTGAGTGTCTAAGGCCTGGGGTTTAGGCTTTAGGCTTTTCAAGAAGCCCTCAACAAGCTCAAGGGTAAGGTGTCCACCCACCCCAACATTCCCTGCTACTTCAAGGCTGACAATTCTTGGGAGTAGCCCTTTGCGAAAGGTTTTGGGGCCTCTGAGGCCTAAACCCTAAACCCTAAACCCTAAACCCTAAACCCTAAACCCTAAACCCTCTGACATAGTACGGCTAAACTTCACCGAGCCGCGAACCTCGCCCAGTCAACGAGTGTTGCTGGCCTTGGCGAGTTTTTGAAGGAGACTTTGGTCTGTTTGAAGGAAGTACTTTTAAGGTTTAGGGTTTAGGTTTACAAGGTTCAGATTGCTATAGTTGCAGTTTAGGGTCTAGGGTTTCGGGCTTAGGGCAGTTTAGGGTTTCGGGTTTCGGGGTTTCGGGGTTTCGGGTTTAGTCCTGCCTTTGTTTATGTCAGGCGGCATCAATGGGCACGTCGAAGGCACGCCGGGAGGATTAAAGGTCGTTCGATATGCTGCCAACAGATTTCAGCAGCCAGTTCAAGGCGCTTCGAGTTCAGGGTTTAGGGTGAGCTTTCCTAGACGCCAAACCCTAAACCCGAAACCCCTAAAACCCCGCGACACGAACCCCTAAGCCCCTAAACCCCAAACCCTAAACCCTGAACCCCACGAAGCCAAAAATCGCCGAGAGTCGTGTGCAAAAGCTCCCTTTGGGAGCTCCCTGAAATTAGCCAGGCGAGCCCTCGACTTGCACGGGTAGCATTGGCCCTTGCTCCCTTATTTGGGTTTAGGGTTTAGGTTTAGGGTTTAGGGTTTAGGGTTTAGGGTTTAGGGTTTAGGGTTTAGGGTTTAGGGTTTAGTCCCCTTACAGGGTTTGAGGTTTTTAGGGTTTGGGGTTTAGGGAACGCCAGTCTGCAACAGAAAGCACCCCCTTGTTATTGTTCCGTGAGCTAACCCACCTTAAGCCGCTTCAACCCTAACTACCTTAAACCTAAACCCTAAAGCCAAGACATTCAAAAGAAAACCGCTAAGCCCCCCCCCCCCCCCCCAAGACCTCTGAAACCCTAAGCCCTAAACACCGAACTTAAACCCGCTAAACCCTACCCCCTAGGCCCCCCAACCTAAGCCCCAAAAAACCTCCTAAACCCCGAACCCTAGACCCTGGACCCTAAACCCTAAACCCTAAACCTTAAGCTCTAAACCCTAAACCCTAAACCCGAAGCCCTAAGCCCTAAGCCCTAAGCCCTAAACCCTAAACCCTAAACCCTAAGCCCTAAGCCCTAAGCCCTAAGCCCTAAGCAGCAGCCCCTTCTGCGAGAGGCAGCCCCTCCTGTGAAAGCAGCGCCGGCGGCCTTGGGCGGCGAGGTCTGAGAGAAGCCAAAGTAGGGCCCAAGAGCCTGTTAAGAGAAGGCTTTAGGGTTGAGGTTCCAGGGTTTAGGGTTGAGGGTTTAGGGTTAGGGTTTAGGGTTGAGGGTTGAGGGTTTAGGGTTGAGGGTTGAGGGTTTGTGTTTAGGGTTTAGGGTTTAGGGTTTAGGGTTTAGGGTTTAGGGTTTAACAAGCCACCGAGCTGCAACACTTGCGACCCGGAACGCCGTCAGCGCCCTAAGCCTAAGTGCGACCCTCTAAGCGTCGCAGGTCCTCTACAGGCCCTAATGCCCCGTTACGCCTCCCGAAGCCCTAAACCATAAAACAGATATGGCGCCCGAAGCCCTAAACCTTATTGCATATCCCTCTAAGACCCAAGCCCTAAGCCCTAAACCCTAAACCCTAAACCCTAAACCCTAAACCCCCTAAACCCCCTCAACGCTACATTGCCCGGTCGCGTCCTGCCGGCTGCGCCAGGGCAAGCGACCCGCCGAGGGTGGCGAGGCCAATGCGGAGAAGAAGCAGAGGCCGAAGTTAGGGTTTAGGGTTTAGGGTTTAGGGTTTAGGGTTTAAGGTTACCCTAAACCCTAAACCCTAAACCCTAAACCCTGGAGCCCCCTTGGCTCCGGGCGGGTCAGCGACGCGGTCCACAAGCGGCCGAGCCGCCGTCTCTGCCCGGCGCAGCATGGCCTGGCTTTGTGGGGGATTTAGGGTTTCGGGTTTGGGCTTCGGGTTTCGGGTTTCGGGTTTAGGGTTTAGGGTTTAAGGTTCAGGGTTTAGGGTTTAGGGTTTAAGGTTCAAGGTTTAGGGTTTAGGGTTTGAGATTTGAAGTTATGGTTTAGGGGATATAGTAGGGCTTGTGATTTCGGGCTTAGGCTTTCATGTATGTGTATGTAATGGAATGTATCGTATACGCAATATATGCTTTGGGGTTGAGCTAAACTAATCATAATAAATCCCTTTTGCCCTGCCTACATAAGGCTGCTTATCAACGCTTTTCGGTAAGTTTCCCCATACGTGTATTTGGTCAGTCGATGGGGATTTCTCGTATTATATACATACATAAATAAATAAATATATATATATATATACATATATATTCATATATACATATGGTTTTGTTTTTAATGGTTCCTGGGCAGGTTAGTGATTGTACATGTTTGAAGCGTTCTGGTGCGGTTCGTAGGTAGATTTGCTTTGAAGAGTTGTGGGGGGGGGGGCTTAGGCTTGCCATGGCCTTTGCAGATGGAATGAAGTACCCCAAAGCTGCTCACATCATGGATTCGGGGTGCCCAGAAACCGGCTGATCCGATTGAGGGTTCAGGACTGGTGGCTGCCATGGAGTTTGGGGAGAGTGGCAGGCGGCCGCGAAAGCCTACACCCTACACCCTAAACCCTAAACCCTAAACCCTAAACCCTAAACCCTAAACCCTAAACCCTAAACCCTAAACCCTAAACCCTAAACCCTAAACCCGACTCCCCAGGCCCTGAACACCGTCAGCCCCCACCTGGCCCAAAGACTCCGAGCCTCCAGCTCCGGCAGGCCCGAGACTGACCCCGCCACGCTCGGCCGTATGCTGATTCAGGAGGGCTTGGGCTTAAGGGTTTTAGGGTTTAGGGTTTAGGTTGAAGGGTTTAAGGGTTTGAGGGTTTAAGGGTTTAAGGGTTTAAGGGTTTAAGGGTTTAAGGGTTTAAGGGTGTAAGGGTGTAAGGGTTTAAGGGTTTAAGGGTTCAAGGGTTTAAGGGTTTAAGGGTTTAAGGGTGTAAGGGTTATAGGGTTTAAGCGTTTAGGGGTTTAGGGGTTCGGGGTTCATAGGCTTGGGGTTTGGGCTTCAGGGTTTATAGGGTTTAGGCCTTCTCAGGGTTTTATCGGTTTGTGGCTTACAAGGTCTTTTCTACGGTTGGTCGGGGTGGGCTGCAGGGCTTGTAGGGTCGGGCTTCCGCGCTTTACACTTGGGCCTGTCGAGTCTCCAGCATTGAGGCCGTTACTTAAACCCTCAACCCTCAACCCTCAACCCTCAACCCTAAACCCTAAACCCTAAACCCTAAACCCTAAACCCTAAACCCTAAAACCCTCAACCCTCAAAGCCCCATGTCGAGGGCCTCAAGCCGAGTCATGCTTCGGCAGGCTAGCCTAAACCCTAAACCCTAAACCCTAAACCCTAAACCCTAAACCCTAAACCCTAAACCCTAAACCCTAAACCCTAGGATCTTTTCAGGCACTAGGGCCCTGTCTAGCCAGACCGAAGAAGCCCGCCCCCCCCCCCCCCCCCCCCCCCCGAGGGTAGGGACTGGGCCTTCGTGGAATGGTTTTCGAATTCCGAAAGCACCGGACCTTCCTTTCAAAGGTCGGGGTTTAGTGTTCAGGGCTTAGGGTTTAATTGGGGTTTAGGGTCTAGGGTATGCAGGTTGGAAGTAGCAAGTGCAATGCTTAGAAGATATGATATGTTTCTCTTGTAGGACCCGTTGGCCTCGTTGAGCACAGCCGCAAACGGCAGCGGCTGCCATAAGCTACTAAACCCGCAAGATCCCCTTTGGGATCTTCGATGTTCACATATTCCTGTAGTTCTATGCACTAACAAAAGATCTAACCTGACTAAAAGAAAAATCCTAAGCCCTCAGCCCCCAAATTTTGCAGGGTGTCGTGCGCGTCTTGCAGAACCGGGCCAAGGCAAGCAAAGGAGTGCCGAGCTTACACCGAGGGCTTTCCGTAACGAAGGGCCACGAGGTAAGCCCTAAACTCTAAACCCTAAACCCTAAACCCTAAACCCTCCTCACAAACAAAAAGGGCCCTCACAGACAAAAAAGGGACCTCAGAAACACAAACTGCCAACGAAAGCGCCCTGAACTTGATGGAACCCACCTCAAGAACCCAAAACCTGCTGTTTTGCACGTTGCTTAAGAATCCTGTAAGGGCCGATAGACTAAGAACCTACGAGAAAAGTAGGCTTTGGACTCTGAAGGTAAACCCTAAACCCTAAACCCTAAACCCTAAACCCTAAACCCTAAACCCTAAACCCTAAACCCTAAACCCTAAACCCTAAACCCTAAACCCTAAAACATAAACCCTAAACCCTAAACCCTAAACCCTAAACCCTAAACCCTAAACCCTAAACCCTAAACCCTAAACCCTAAACCCTAAACCCTAAACCCTAAACCCTAAACCCTAAACCCTAAACCCTAAACCCTAAACCCTAAACCCTAGACCCTAAACCCTAAACCCTAAGCCCTGAAGATTCCAAGAGGCCGCCGCCCCGAGATCCATGCCTTGGGTTCAGGGCTTTTGGTTTAGGGTTTAGGGTGTAGGGTTTAGGGTTTAGGGTTTAGGGTTAGGGTTTAGGGATGTGCAGGTTGATAAAGATTAGGGTTTATGGGGATTTACAAGGCTTATAGGGATTCTTTGGGGTTTGGGGGATTACAGGGCTTAGAGGGATTCGAGGGATTCATAGGGATTGTTCGGATTGTGGTGACTATCGGGGAAAACAGGAATGATAGGAATTGCAGGACTCAGGGTTTGGGGTTTGGGGTTTGAGGGATGCGCGGGCTGACTTGCGGACGTGGCTGTGGCTCGAGAGTAGCCACTTCTACAGCTGGTGCCCAGGTTTAGGGTTTAGGGTTTAGGGTTTAGGGTTTAGGGTTTAGGGTTCAGGCCCAGCAGCTCACCCGAGTCGCTCACGCGTGATGGCCCCCTTGGTGCGTGCCCTCGCGTGCCCGCTCGCGCGGGCTGCGCGCCGACTGAGCACCACAACGGCGCCCGTCGGCATGCCCATACGCGACCAAGACTCCCAGTGGCACACCCCTCTCCCCTGTTTTGAGGCAACCCTCAACCCTGAACCCTAAACCCTAAACCCCTCAACCCTCAACCCTTAACCCCAAAACTCTAAACCCTAAACCCTTAAACCCCAAACCCCCTAACCCCTAAACCCCTAAACCCCAAACCCCAAACCCCAAACCCCTAAACCCTAAACCCTAAACCCTAAACCCTAAACCCTAATCCCTAAACCCTAAACCCTAAACCCTAAACCCTAAACCCTAAACCCTAAAACCCTAAACCGAAACCCTAAACCCTAAACCCCAAACCCCTAAACCCCTAAACCCTAAACCCCAGGCAAAGTCACCGTGGTCGGCGCCGGCACGCTCGGTTCGCAGGTCGCCTTCCAGACGGCCATCAGCGGCTTCGATGTGGCGGTTCTGGACACCCAGGCGTATAATTGGGGAGGGGGGGGGGGGGGGGTTTAGGGTTTAGGGTTTAGGGTTTAGGGTTTAGGGTTTAGGGTTTAGGGTTTACGGTCCACCCTAAACTTCCAAAGCCCCAAGTCTTCACACCCTACACCCCCCAACCCCGAAACCCGAAACCCTAAACCCTAAACCCTAAACCCTAAACCCTAAACCCTAAACCCCATCTCCTAAAAACCCGAAATTGTAAGAGGCGGACGGCCTGGCCCGGTGCCGGGCCATGCACGAGGCCTTTTCCCAACAGCGCCTTGAGAAGAATATCATGTGGTTTCCGGGGGCTTTAGGGTTTAGGTTTAGGGTTAGGGTTTAGGGTTTAGGGCTGAAGGTTTAGGGTCAGGGTTACCTTATTGGGTCCACAATTGTAGCCCTTCTGCAGTCACGTTTAAACTGCCGAAGGGCTTAGGGTTTAGGACCACAAGCCCTTCTAAAGCCACTGAACTCCTGAAGCTACACCCTAAACCCTAAACCCTGTTCTTTCAGTCTTCGAGGTACGTGGCGCGCGAGGGGGAGCGGCAGGCGCGCGCCTGGAAGGGCCTGGCTCGTGGTTCCAGTGCCGAGGAGGTGGCAAGGAAGGCCCTGGACAGGGCACTTTGCTCAGCCAACAGTCGATCTTTAAACTTTTTGGGTTTCCTTTTCTGTAGGAATAATCAAGCAAAGAGTTGAACCTTGGAACTTTTTTTTGGGGTTTCCTGTTTTTTGTAGGAATAACCAAGTAGCAAACAGTTGAATTTCAAACTTTTTGGGTTTCCTCTTTCTTTGGTAGGAATAATTAAAATAAACCCTAAACCCTAAACCCTCAACCCTAAACCCGGTAGGAATCATTAAAGTTTGACCCATTTTTTCCTCCTCGGCTCTTGGAGAAGTCAGGTTTTGGGTTTCCTGTTTCTTTGGTAGGAATAATCAAAGTTAAACCCTTTTTTCCCCTAAACCCTAAACCCTAAACCCTAAACCCTAAACCCTAAACCCTTGGAGAAGTCAGGTGCTTTACACCACGGACACGGCTGAGGCGATGCGCGGCACCGACCTGGTCAGTGAGAATGTGCCGGAGGCCGTGCAGGGACCCGAGGGTTTAGGGTTTAGGGTTTAGGGTTTAGGGTTTAGGGTTTAGGGTTTAGGGTTTAGGGTGCTCTAAGCTCTCAGCCCCAGAATCCCCCCCCAACAAGCCCTATAAACCCTCAAAGGGCCCTTCTCAAACCATATGGGAGTTTATGAGAATGAGGGACCTCTGAAATCGACCCCCCACTAGTACAGTTCCCTTTTAATCAGAACCCCAAAAGGTACATACCCCTAATTTCGGAACCTCCCCCCCATATATCATATATATATATATATATATCATATCATATCATATCATATCATATCATATCATATCATATCATATCATATCATATCATATCATATCATATCATATCATATCATATCATATCATATCATATCATATCATATCATATCATATCATATCATATCATATCATATCATATCATATATATATATATGTATATATCATATATACATATATATCTATATATATATGTATCCCTAGCAGCCCTTGCAACCCTACAAGCCGGGAGGTCGTGGACATCAAGGTGGCCGCCTACAAAGCTCTGAACGCGCACGCGGGGCCGGAGACGATCTTCACCAGCAACTCCAGCACGCTGCTGCCCAGCCAGTTCCTGGGCTTCTTATATGGCTTGCAGTGTATATAGAGTTTACAAGGTTCATAGGGTTCATCAGGTTCATAGGGTTTATAAGGTTGATAGGGTATATATACATATATATATATATACCTATTATATATCTGGTTTATGGAGCTCATAGGGTTTTTTGGTCAAGTTTACAGAGTGCATAGCCCAGCCAGTTCCTGGGCCCTTGTTGTCTTGGTAGCCCAGTGGTCGCAAACCCCAAAACCCCAAACCTTGAACCCAAACCCTTATTTAGGGTTTAGGATTTAGGGTTTAGGGTTTAGGGCCTTAAGGGTTTAGGGTTTAGAGTTTAGGGTTTAGGGTTTAGGGCTAGAAACCCTAAACCCCAAACCCTGGTAATCAGGTTTGCCGAGTTCACCGGACGGCCAGGGCGCTTCTGCGCGCTGCACTTTGCCAATGGCATCTGGGACGCCAACATCGGCGAGGCGGGAGTTTGGGGGGTGTAGGGGTTATGGGGCTTCTGGGGCTTGGGGTTTGGGGTTTAGGGTTTGGGGTTTGGGGTTTAGGAATTGGGGTTTGGGTTTAGGGCTTAGGGTTTACGGCTTGGGGATTAGGGTTTAGGGTTTAGGGTTTGGGGTTTAGGGTTGATAATGTCGAAGTGCGATGTGTCCTAGCCACTCTATCAAAATTCCCCGCAAGAACCCTTTATAACGCCCCTGTTGAAACCCCTAGGAACTCAATCTTTATTGGGCCCCCCAAAGCCCTGCCAGCTAGGTGATGGGCCATTCAGGCACAGAGCCGGAGATCTTCGAGCGAGTGGTCCAGTTTGCCGAGCAGATCGGCATGGTGCCCATCCGCTGTGCCAAGGAGCAGTCGGGTTACGAGCAAGCCCATTGGGAGTTTTGTTGCTCCTTTTTCGGGTTTTTCGAGCGCGTTTGTAAACTGGTACGCTGTTATGAGTCTTTTGGTTCAGTCGAAATTGGTCACTGGGATGGTTAGGCTACGTCATCAACACCATGCTCGTGGCGTGGCTGAACGCCGCACAAGCGCTGGTCACCAACGGGGTCTGCGCCCAGGAGGATGTGGACCGGGCTTGGATGATCTGCTTCGGCCACGCCCATCCGGACAAGGGGCCCTTGGGCATCATGGACATGGTTGGCACAGGCACGGTCTCTTAGTAGCTGAGGCAGTAGACTTTACGCCTTTTTGGGATACTCTAATCCCCTATACATGAGCTGAAAGTGTACACTTTTGGGGGGGGGGCTTATGAACTCAGCAGCTGAGGTCTACAACATCCTGGCCCACTGGGGCAAAACCTTGGGGGATGCTCAGATGTCCGCCAACGCTAATTTCATCAAGGAACAGCTCGTGGACCAGGGTAACTTACTTCGCCTTTAGTTGAACTGTAAGCTTTTTGGTTAACCCTAAACCCTAAACCCTAAACCCTAAACCCTAAACCCTAAACCCGGTGTCCTTATTTAGTAGGAATGTTACAGTCTCCCCCTTTGGTTGTTGGAGAAGTAAGGCAAGCTCGGGCTCAGCGGCTTGGCAGCCCAGTGGTGCCCTTTTCCCTTTTTGCTTTAGGTTACCAGGTTCTCTGATTACTATTACTATTACTATTATTATTATTATTACGTTGTTTTTGTTCTTATTGTTGCTATTCTTATTACTATGATGATTATTATTCTTATTGCTTTAAAGTAACCAACCCAACAAGGGTGCCCTTCCTATTATAATTATGGTTGCTGGCTACCAAGGAGGCGGCGACCCAGACAAGGACGAGGCTGTTGGTTTTTACAGCTACCCAAACCCCGCCTTCAAGCGTCCGGGCTTCCTGGATGGCAAGGAGTGAGGGGCCTAAACCCTAAACCCTAAACCCTAAACCCTAAACCCTAAACCCTAAACCCTAAACCCTAAACCCTAAACCCTAAACCCTAAACCCTAAACCCTAAACCCTAAGCCTCCCCCTTGGAACTGTAGTTATAAGGTATGCCCTGAGCCCTGAGCCTTGAATACCTAGCACTCTACTTAGAACCCGGTGTTGATAGGGTTTCGGGTTTCGGAGCTCTCCCTGTCGGCTCTTTCGCCTCCCGAATTCATCTTTAGACCCGTGCGGTGGTGCGCGGGGAGGCTTTTGAAGGCTTGGCAGAAGCTCGGGCCACTAGGGGTTCAAAGAGACCAAAGGAGAGACCCTTGTAAGGGACGTCAGGGGTTATTTAGGTATACTGGGGCGAAAAAAGGTGGATATATATATATATATATGTATATATACATACATATACTTCTACATATATAGGGGGCTATATGGGGAATAAGATGAAGGGTCCCTTCAAGGGGTCCCTCCCTATCCCCCCTTAAAGTGATGTGCAAGTTGTGTTCAACTAGGCCGACCGGCTGCGCAAAAAAAGGCCCGCAGCTCCCAGAACACCACAGCAGGGCTCCAGGGTTTAGGGTTTAGGGTTTAGGGTTTAGGGTTTAGGGTTTAGGGTTTAGGGTTGCGGCAGGGTTGGTGAGTTCTCGGGATTCCGACTTTGGGTCTCTAGGATCCCTGAGCCCCACAACTCTAAAACTCTAGAACCTCAGCCGGAGAAGTTGGTGGAGGGGGTGCTACAGGGCATACAGGGTTTGGTAGGGCCCTAAACCCTAAACCCCAAACCCTAAACCCTAAACCCTAAACCCGAAACCCTAAACCCTAGACGGCCTTATCGCGCTTAGTTTTTTGTTCCGTTTCTGACGCCTCGGGACCCACTTTACAAGGTTCCCTTCTCATCCCGTTTGATAAGCAGCAGAAGCAGGGCACCCCACCCTAAACCCTAAACCCTAAACCCTAAACCCTAAACCCCAAACCCCAAACCCTAAACCTAAACCCTAAACCCCGAGTCGCCGAAACCCCTACATCCCCAAAAGTCCGAAGCCCCCTACAAACTCTCAACCCAACAAAGCTAGGTTTCAGGGCTCATGGTCCAAAGCCCGGGCGCCACAAAACACCTAACACCCCTAAACCCAAAAGCGCCCTACATCCCCAAACCCTAAGCCCTGGCATCCCTGAACCCCAAACCCCAAACCCCAAACCCCAAACCCCAAACCCTAAACCCCAAACCCCAAACCCCAAACCCTAAACCCTAAACCCTAAATCCTAAACCCTTGCCTCTCAAGATGGACGCCAGCAGCCCAGAGAGCCCAGCCAACTTGTAAACCCTAAGCCCTAGCCCTAAACCCTAAACCCTAAACCCTAAGCCCTAAATCCTAAACCCTAAACCCAGGCCTTGCCAGTGAGCGACTTAGAACGCGACTTCCAGGCGCCAAACTGCAGGTTGCTTCGGGCTTAGGGGTTTCGGGCCCTATTTAGGGTTTAGGGTTTAGGGTTTGGGGTTTAGGTTTAGGGTTTAGGGTTTAGGGTTTAGGGTTAGGGCCCTGGGGCTTCCCGAAACTTAAGGGGTTTAAGGAGGGACCCCTACAAGGGACCCTTCATCTTTTTCCCCTATATAAACCTTATATAGCCCCTATATACCTAAGTAGCCCAAAGAAACCCTAAGGTCCCTCCTTTAGTCCCTTGAGAAACCCCTAAACCAATCCAATCCCTGTGCCCTAAGGGCCACAACCCTGAAGTCTACAACAATCGAACGCCTAGGCCCCCTAAACCTTGCATCGAATCCCTATACGGTGTCTTCTTGGTGCTTATGCTAGGGCAGCTCCTCTTGATTAGGGCGCACCACAAGGGTTTAGGGTTTAGGGTTTAGGGTTTAGGGTTTAGGGTTTGAGCGGACCAGATGTTAAGCAAGCTAGAGAGAAGCAACAGGCCGGCAACCCGAAGCAAGGGCCTGATGACCTCAAAAATAGCCGACGGTGAAGTGTCGCTGAAGCCATAACCCTAAACCCTAAACCCTAAGCCCTAAAACCCATACGCCACCTGCACCACCTAAGCCCCCTGAGCTCCCTAAACCGGGCTTCCTGAAGCCTCAACCCTAGATCCTAACCCTTCTAACCCCAAAACCCCCTACTGCAGCCACTCAACCCCAAAACTCTAAACCCCCAAAATGCCCAAACCCCAAACCCCAAACCCTAAACCCTAAACCCTGAACCCTGAACCCTAGACCCTAGACCCTAGACCCTAGACCCTAAACCCTAAACCCTAAACCCTGAACCCGAGCCGCTTTTTTTCTCAGCCTTCCCCGAGAAAAAATCCAAAACAGGAGCTCTGGAGCGTTCCGTTCAACTTCAGAGAGGCGCCCCCGCGCTGGGGAGGGCTTTGCCTCTCCAGGGTTTAGGGTTTAGGGCTTAGGGCTTAGGGTTTAGGGTAGGCATTGTCGGTAGTAGTATGTCCTGTGGTTTAGTTTTGTTTATGTTTTTGTGGCGGGGGGTTGATGGCAAGGACGCCCAGTGCCCTGATTGCCTTCTTTGGGTGGCTTAGGTTTAGGGTTTAGGGGGTGCAGTTTTTTCTATTTCCTGGTTTCTGGGGATGCTAGAGAGCTTCTCTTCCTAAAGGGCTTAGGGGCTTCGGGCCCATTTTTTGTGGGTTAGGGTTGAGGCTTGAGGGTTTTTAGGGTTTAGGGTTTGGGATATAGGGGTCTAGACCCTAAACCCTAAATCCTAAACCCTAAACCCTGACGATCATTGTAGTTCAACGCTGCGCGCCGCCCGCCTCGGCCCAGCGCGGAAGCTTTCAGGGTGCTAGGGTGTCAGGGTGGGGTTTCTGTAAGAAGGGGGTCGGAATAATTACTACGAACATTCCCTAATGGCCCCCTTGTAATTATGCTATAAGAACCCCCGAAACACTATTCCAATGATTCAGGCCTCTATATTCGGCATGTAGAGATGCTTATCGTCCACTAAACCCTCAACCCTAACACTCAGCAGTAGCGTCGTCTCTGTCGCCCGCTCAAAGAGGGTTGCGGCCAACATCACGGAACCTTTGACGCCACACTGCCGGGCGAATCATTCATGGTCGTTTCTTGTTGTTTTGTATCTAAGGATAGCTATATGGTCCCTTCATCATGTGGTCCCTTACCCTCTTTAAAGGGTCCTGACTTTTGGGCCCTTGGGTAGATAAGGGGTATATCAAGGGCCCATACTAGTGTTGCGGGTCCCTAAACACCTTTTAAACCCTCAACGTCTAAGCCCTAAGCCCCAAACCCTAAGCCCTGAACCTCCAAAGGCGGAATCCCAACATGCTAAATCCTGAATGACTGAAGGGTTTAAATCCTCAGCTTTCCCTGAGCCCTCAACTCGAAAGTGAAACCCGCACACTTCTCTTCCCAGCCGGACATTAAACCAAAAAGGGCCCCCCTTTTTGTTCCGGGTTTAGGTGTGTTTAGACTCATTAGGGTTTGGGGGTCTTGAGCAGTTAGGGATTGGGGTATAGCCTCAATTTGCGCTGCCCTTTGTAGGTTATGGGACACATAATTGGGGTTGCGTATACGTACCCATGAACCTCCAAGTATCCCGTAGTTCTTTCCAAGATGGTGCCGGTTTTGGAATGTTGGGTTTAGGATTGCAGAGTGTAGGGCTTAGCGATGTTGAGCCGGCCTACAAATATGCTCAGGGTCAATATAGAGTGTGAAAATGAACTCCACGCTTCCTCAACCTTGCAAACCTGAACCCAAAACTGCAAAACTCCCTAACTCCACAACCAAAACCTTTTGCGCCCTAAATTTTTAACTCCCAAACCCTAAACCCTAAACCATGCAGACCCTAAACCCTCACCGGTGAGGCTGGCGAGGCAGACCCAGTGAGCTTCCTCCGAAAATGGCCAGCCAAGGTGCGCCCCAAGAGAATCCCGAAACCCCCAAGCCCTAAACCCTAAACCCCTACGAGTGGGTTTCCCTAAACCCCTACACCCCTACACCCCTACCCCTAAACCCCTAAACCCCTAAACCCCTAAACCCCTAAACCCCTAAACCCCTAAACCCCTAAACCCCTAAACCCCTAACCCCTAAACCCCTAAACCCCTAAACCCCTAAACCCCTAAACCCCTAAACCCCTAAACCCCTAAACCCCTAAACCCCTAAACCCCTAAACCCCTAAACCCCTAAACCCCTAAACCCCTAAACCCCTAAACCCCTAACCCTAATCCCCTATGCGGGGTTAGCTTGTGCCCTAAACCCAAAACCCTAAACAACACACCCCTAAATTTTGGGACATGGAATCTTCCATTTCCCAAACCAGAAGAAGCCTAGGAGGCCCCTGTAGGCTTCGGGATTGGTGCTTTGCTTACTTTTGGTTAGCAGGAGGTACCTACATAATCCCTTAAAGGGTATATATAGGAGGATATGGGGTACCTCATTCCCTCATTCCCTACTAACGAACAGTAAGTTTGAGGATGTGTGGGCTGCGCAAGTGAACCCACTGAGTTTTTGAGTTCAATTCTCCAGGCCAAGCGCTAAGAACCCCAAGCCCTAGGCCTCAAGACCCTACATCCCCCAACCCTTAAACCGTGAAGCGCCCTAAGCTCCGAACTCTTACACCCCCCCCCTCCCTCCTCAATTTGAACCGCCTGATTCAGGGCGCAGGGGCCGCAGTCCTTAAAACCAAACCCTAAAGCCTCAAGCCTAAACCCTAAACCTAAACCCTCCCCGGCCAACACCTATAGGACGTCCAGTCGGGGGCCTTAGTCTAAGCTTACGCAAGCCTGCGACCCTAAGCCTAAACCCAAAACCCTGAGCCCAAACTTACCGTCAGCCTTAGACCCTGAACCCTAGACCCCATGAACCCCTAGCTCCTAACACAGGGTACTTTAACCCCAGTTAGAACTACACTTTTAAACCCCTAAGTCCTCCAAGAAGGTTATAAGCCTCATCAGTGGGGTTCTACACCCTAAACCCTACACCCTAAACCCTAAACCCCCAAAACCCCAAAACCCGAAACCCGAAACCCTAAACCCTAAACCCTAAACCCTACACTTCGCACCGTCAGGTCGAGGTCTTCGGTGACCCCGGTGCTTGGATGGCCCCTCCGTGCCTGGTTCTGGGGTTTGGGGGGTTTAGGGTTTAGGCTTTAGGCTTTAGGCTTTCGGCTTTACTGAAATTATTAAGGGTTCAGGTCCGGGCAAGTTTCGGGGAGTTTCGAGGAGTTTCTGTTTTGGTTTTTTTGGAATAATTTCAAGTTACAGGGGCTTGAGGGTTTAGGGTTTAGGGTTTAGGGTTTAGGGTTTAGGGTTTAGGGTTTAGGGCACCTAAGCCAGTGAAGCGCTGTAAAAGGCCCCGACCATCCATCGACCGGGCGAAACCCTCAACACCGTCAGCCCTAAACCCCACACCCTCTTAGGGTTTAGGGTTTAGGGTTTAGGGTTTAGGGTTTAGGGTTTGTTACATGGTCCCGTAGTATGGGCCCTTAAACGGGTACCCCTTATATACTTTTTTCCCTCTACAATTTCAGGGCCCACACGTCAGAACCCTTACGACTTGGTGAAAGTCGGGGAAATGGAGATGTACATGTTGAGCAGTGCGAACAGAAAGGATGACGAGAAGTTGGTGTTGCAGAAAGAAAGCCCCTTTTGGGTTGCTTACAACATCAAGGAGTCCGAGGACGGCGTGATCGATTTTGGACAGCCGCGCTTCCGCACAAAAGAGAACATGGTCGAGAAGGGTTGGCACTCATGTAATTCAGGGCCCATGAAGCTACCCTCAGATACCCACAGGGTCCATGTACCTGTATTCTTAGATACCTGGGCCTTAAAGGGTTCCTGTGTAGTAGCTTTAGGGCCCAGGTCTATACCATAGAGGCATATGGACCCGATCCAAGTATACGTGAGGACAATTGGCGGCACTAAGCCCTAACATATTCCTTTCACCCCAGAGCCACAAAAAAACCCAACCCCACACCCCTACGCCCTGAACCCTAATCAACCCGAACAAAACGACAAACCCTGATCCAGCCGCAAGCCTAAACCCCTAAACCCTGAACTCCTAAACCCCTAAACCCCTAACCCAACCCCTAAACCCCTGAACCCCTGAACCCCTAAACCCTTAAACCCCTAACCCCCTAAAACCCTAAACCCCTAAACCCTAAACATCTGAACCCTAAACCCTAAACCCTAAACCCTAAACCCTAAACCCTAAACCCCTGCATCCTAAAAAATAGTCTATCGGCTGCCAGGTCCAGCTTGCGAAGAAGCCCACAGCAGCCAAGTCGGTCTTCGACTCAGGGTTTAAGGTTGAGGGTTTAGGGTTTAGGGTTTAGGGTTAGGGTTGAGCGTTTAGGGCTTAGGGTTTGGGGTTGAGGGTTTAGGGTTTAGGGTTGAGCGTTTAGGGCTTAGGGTTTGGGGTTTAGGGCTTAGGGTTTGGGGTTTAGGGCTTAGGCGTTTCTCTGAGACTCTGAGAGCCCTAGTTACGGAACCACACACCTGGAACAACGGAGTGGACCTAAAGCCTATAGGGTTTAGGGTTTAGGGTTTAGGGTTTAGGGTTTAGGGTTTAAACACAGGGCTAGGGGCTTTTGAAGGTTTAGGGGTCGAGGGTTTTCAAGCCTTCCAGGGTTCAGGGGTTCAGTGTGTGTAGTGTGTGAGTGTGTGAGTGAGTGAGTGAGTGAGTGAGTGAGTGAGTGAGTGAGTGAGTGAGTGAAGAGAACCTTCAAACAGGATTCTTTGAGGTTTAGGGTCTTTGTGTTTAATGGGTTTCGGAGTGGGGTAGGCCTCCAAAGTCAAACCTCATCAAGCCCTTTGGGTTGTTTCGGGGTTGATGGTTGAAACGCTTGCTAGGGTTTAAGGCTTGGGGTACCCCTCCAAAGCCTGAACCCCCCGCCTTTCTTTACAGCTTTTGGGGCTCGATGGCTCCTCAACCCTAAACACCCTAAATCCCAAAACCCTAAACCCCAAACCCTAAACCCTAAACCCCAAACCCTAAACCTAAACCCCAAACCCTAAACCCTAAACCCCAAACCCTACACCCCAACTCGCCAAGGCGCCCCCAGAGGCGCCCGCCAAGGCACTTGCCGTCGACACAGCGTTTGGGGTTTGGGGTTTGGGGTTTTGGGTTTAGGGTTTAGGGTTTAGGGTTTAGATGTGGGCTTTGGGGTTTAGGAATGCGTTTTGGGGTTGAAGATTTAGGGTTTAGGGAGGGTTTAGGCTTTGAAGGGTTCGAATGTGTGGGCCCCTGGGTTGTATAGTGTATGTCAAGGGCCAGACAAGGGGTCCCCTTTTTCAGGGCCCATCTTCAGGGACCATGTAACTACCCTAAGATACCCTGCTTGAACTGCAACAGCCCTAGACCCTAAACCCTCAACCCTAAACCCTAACACCCCCAACACTTTTTTTGGAGGGGGGTTCTCCGGCTCAAGCCGCCGACCCCGCAGGAGAACAAGTTTAAGGTTTGGGGTTTGGTGATTTTGTTTGCGGTTCCTGTGGGGGGGGGGGTGGGGGGGGGGGGGGGGGGGGGGGGGGTGGGGGGGTAGGGGTTTAGGGGTTTAGGGGTTTAGGGTGAGGGTTTAGGGGTTTAGGGGGTTTAGGGGTTTAGGGTTTAGGGGTTAGGGGTTTAGGGGTTTAGGGGTTAGGGGTTTTAGGGGTTTAGGGGGTTAGGGGGTTAGGGGGTTAGGGGTTAGGGGGTTTTAGGGTTTAAGGTTCAGAATTTGGGGTTTGGGGCTTTTGGGGTTTGGGTTTGAGGGGTTAGGGTGTGGGGACTAAAGTTTCTGCAGGGTTTAAGGTGCAGGCTGTAGGGTTTAGGGTTTAAGCTTGAGATTTTGAGTGTGAGGGTTTACAGTGCTGGGTTTTCGGGCTAAGGGTGGGAGGGGGGGGGTGGGGGGGGGGGTGGGGGGGGGGGGCGGGGGCGGCACAGCAGTGGGGGGGTAGGGGGGGGGTGGGGCGGTGGCTGTGAAAAAAAGGGGGTGGGGGGGGGGGGGGGGGGTAGGGGGGGGGGTAGGGGGGGGGTAGGGGGGGGGGGGGGGGTAGGGGGGGACCCTACACCCTAAACCCTAAAACCCTAAACCCTAAACCCTAAATCCTTGACCCGAATCCTAAACCTTAGACCATCTTATCAGTCAGAGGCTACGCCCGCTGAGCCGCCTCCCGCCGTGGCTGGACCAGGCGAAGTCTAGCTTTAGGCTTTAGGGTTTAGGGTTTAGGGCGTCACTCGAAGAATGGTCGTGGAGCCGTGGGGCTAGACCTAAAAATGCCTAAACCCTAAACCCTAAACCCTAAACCCTAAACAACCCGTGGAACCCTAAACAACCCGTGGCTCTTAAGGTCACCCTCAACCCTAAACGCTTAAGCCCTAAATCCTTAAAACCTCGTTAAATTAAAGCCCTGCAAACTCTTAAACCTCACAGGCGCTGGTGGCCTTGACGCCTTTCAGGGGTTTGGGTTTTAGGGTTGAGGGTATTGCAAACCGCCTCAAAGCCACAAGTTTAACCTTCATCCCCGCAGGAAACTCCATCAAGCTGAGTGAGTCATCAAGTGTCATCCGGAACAATGGAAGAGACCCTAAACCCTAAACCCCGAACCCCGAAACCCCGAAACCCTTAGCCCTAAACCCGAAACCAACCCTAAACCCGAAACCCTAAACCCTAAACCCTAAACCCCAGACCCCCAAGCCTTGGTTTGCAGCATGCATACAAGGCTTGTATGCTTTGTAGTGTTTACGATATGTAGGGCTTTGCTCAAGCTCGGGTGTTAGGGTTTAGGGCTTAGGGTTTAGGGATTAGGGTTTAGGGTTTAGGGTTCAGGGGGCTTGTATACAAGCAAGGACCCCCTTGCTATACCAACTGTAGTTAAGGGACCCACAACCTAACCTTTGATCCTTATGACCAACTTCGGGTCCTTATGACTCTACTTATAGCTAAGCAAAAAAAAGGTGTCGGAATAATTGCTAACAGTATTCTCTTTAGGTCCCTTTATATTTCTACTACAATAACCCCACCACCGCCATTCTAATCATTCAGGCTATATTAGGGCCCCTCCTTGTACTTGGAGGCTCAGGGTACTTCTTAACCAATTATAGCTGTGCTGATAACGCACTTGTAAGCCCCTGAAGTGCCCTAATATGGTTATGATTTGGGTTCTAAGTACAGTTAGAATTGGTTGATAAGTACCATGATTCTTCAAGTAGCCCTAAACCCTAAAACCCTTCAGGCCCCTATATTAGGGCCCCTCCTTGTAGGGCTTGTGAGTACCCTGAACCCTAAACCCTAAACCCTAAAACCTAAACCCCAAATAAGTACCCTGAACCTTCAAGTAGGGTTTGTGAACCACCAGCCCCCCCCCCCCCCCCCCAAAAAAAAAAAAAAAAAACAGGACCTCAGGCAGTGGCGCACCAGGCCGAGATGTGAGGGACGACCGTTAGGGTTGAGCTTTTGACACACCCCCTGAACCCTAAACCCTAAACTCTAGACCCCAAACCCTATCCCTAAACCCTAAACCCCAAACCTCCCTAAAGAAGGCTCCCTTGATGGAGGGGGTATGGGGGCGGGATCAGAACGAGGGTTTAGAAGTTTAGGGTTCTGCGTATTCGGTGTGCAAGTCTAGGGTTTACAGGGCTTAGGGCTTAGGGCTTAGGGTTTAGGGTTTAGGGTTAAGGGTTTAGGGTTTAGGGTTTAGGGTTTAGGGTTTAGGGTTTAGGGTTTAGGGTTTAGGCTTGCGTGTGTTTGGTGCCCCTTTTTTGGACGGGGGTTGCCGCTTAGAAGGGTTTGGTTGGGCGCCCTTGAGGGCGTTTACGGTTTTTGGGGTTGAGGGTTTGGGCATACAGGGGTTTAGGGTTTAGGGTTTCGGGCTAGGGTTTAGGGTTTGGGGTTTAGGGCTTTAGCTAGTTCCAGCCTGGGCCTGGGACTTCGCATCTCTTTCTGGCTTTTGGGGTTGCGGGTGCAGGGAAACCCCAAACCCTAAACCCAAAACCCTAAACCCTAAACTCAGGGCCTAGGCCGCCCCCCTACAGAGGGGGGGGCGGCGCTTAAGCCCTTGGCGCAAGCCGACCCGGGTCGTTCGCCCACCTCCACAGCTCGGGGGTCGGTAGCACCCACGTGGGGCCCGGTACCGGACCCGTTCTCCTCGCACCAGTACTGGTCCCTTTAATAAAGTACCCTAAATTCTTGGGTCATGACCCTGGGACCTTTTCAGGGGGAGGGTACGTAGCCCCTGGACTGAGCCTCAGTCCAGGGGGTCCGGATCCCTCGCCGCAGCGTGCCGGGTGCTCATTTTGGTCCCCCCATCCCGTTTCTCGGCAAGTAAGCAGTAAGCTTTAGTTTAGGCCTAAACCCTAAAAGGAATAGGTTTGGGTGGCTTTGCCGCCTCAGACGCCGTGGGGTGGCAGAAAAGTGTTAGATGGCCTTCCACAATCGGGCCAAAGCTGCTCTTCGCGCCTCACGAAGCTTTCGAGCATGTTCCAAAACCTAACCTTCACAGCATCTACGCCCTTTCACAGCAAGCCCTAAACCCTAAACCCTACACCCTAAACCCTAAACCCTAAACCACACTAAACCCCCTAAACCCCCTAAACCCCCCTAAACCACCCTAAACCACCCTAAACCACGCTAAACCCTCCTAAACCCTAAACCCTAAACCCTAAGCCCTAAACCCTTGTGGAGCCCGATGCGGGTCTACAGGGGACATTGTACAATCACGACGCGCTGTGCCGACCCAGAAATCCTGGGGTAAAGGTGTTAGGGTTGTAGGGTTTTGGGGCTTCGGGTTTCGGGTTAGCTCAATAAACCCTAAACCTACTGGCTCTTGGGGGTTTAGGGTTCGGGGCTCTCAGGTTTTAGGGGAGGGGACACTTAGGCTCTACACGCCCTACAAACTCTGCACCCTCTACATACACGCATATACGTTATAATTTCCATATTGAGTTATCTTTTTGTTTTCATATGATAAGCCCTATGCGCCCTATAAACCCTGCAGGCGCTATGAACCCTCAAACCTCAACCGTAAACCCAAAACCCTATATTATACTCCCTATAAACCCTACAGGCCCCATGAACCCTAAGCCCTGAACCCTATTTCCTAAACCTTAAGCCCCAAACCCTGAACCCTATAGTATACTCTCTATTAACCCCTAAGCCCTAAACCCTAAACCCTAAGCCCTGCCTAAACTAAAAACCCTAAACCCTAAACCCCAAATCCCAAACCCTTGCAGGCCCTATGAAGCCTCAGCCCTCACACGACGTGCCCCTTGCGCGAAGGATGCGCCGGCCACGCCCGCCCCAAGGTCGGCTTTGCATTTAGGGCCCCGAGGGGTTTAGGGTTTAGGGTTTAGGGTTTATAAGGCTTTAGGGTTTAGGGTTTAGGGTTTAAGGGGGTTCAGCAAAGATGCAGGCGAGCCCTTGGCATGTTCTGAACTTGGGTTTACGATTTAGGGTTCGAGGCCCTTGGAATGTTATACAGATTGTCCCTTAGTGGGTTTATGAAATCATCTACACGATCAGGCTCGAAAGGGACACAGATTTGCTGACGCCTTCCACTAAGCTTTGCGCCCCACAGCCCTAGACCCTGAAACCTGACCCAGCCTGCTTCTTTGCATTGGTAGATAGCACGAGCAGGGCTTCTTGAGGCTTTTGTTTTTCTTTGGGGTGGGGGGGGGGGGGGTTCAGAATGAAACCTAAACCTAAACCCCAAACCCTGAAACCCATACCCTTAAACTCAACCAAACCCTAAGACCTGAACCCTCAAACCCTACACCCTAAACCCTAAAACCTGAACCTGTAAACCTACACCCTAACCCCTAGAACCCGAAAACCCTGCAAGCCCTGCACCCCAAGCCCCAAAACCTAAACCCCAAACCGTAAAACCCTGAACCCTTAAGCCCTACGTACACCTAAAACCCGATCCCTTACCCTTAGACCCTACACCCTGAAACCTGAACCCTTAAACCCTGCAAGCCCAGAGCCTTCCCCCACCAGGCCTGTAGCCGCAGAGGTTGCTGTCACAGCCCCAGATACCGGGTTTGGGGATTTGGGTTCAGGGTTTAGGGTTAAGGGTGAAAGTTTAGGGGTGAGGGTTTAGGGTTTAGGGTTTAGGGTTTGGGGTTTGGGGTTTCGGGTTTAGGGTTTAGGATTTGGTGTTTAGGTATTAGGGTTTAGGGATCAGGTCTTGGGTCTCTAAACCCTAAATCCTTGTTGCTGAACTTCGGTCTATGTTGTCAGTGGCAGCTGTGATAGCCAGTTTGGGGACTCCCATGGTTGAGCTGGCCACAGTTCTGTTTGAGAAGGCTTGAGGTGTTAGGGGTTTAGGGTTTAGGGTTGAGGGCTTTTAGGGTTTTGGGTTTAGGGTTTTGGGTTCACTAGCTTTGGGGTCTAGGGTTCAGGGTCCAGGGTAACCCTATTTCAGGCTCTGAGTGCTACACCTTCCCCCCCCCCCCCCCAAAAAAAAAAAAAAAAAGCTGAGGAAAATATATGTTGATTTGGGTTTTAGCCCTAAACCCTGAAACCGGAACCCCACGTCGAGCCAAGTTGGGGCCCGGTGAGTCACCGGCACGAGATGAACACCTTGTGCATTGGCTTGATGTGCTTGGTAAGGCCCCATGGTCTGCCGAAGACGTCTCCAGATGCATCCATTGTCGAGACGAACATGGGAAGCTGCAGGTGTGGAAGGTCCAGAGTCCAGACGATAAACACCTTCTTGGAGGTCATCGAGGAGGCATGACACGGCTCTTCGCAGAGTCTCCCGACACCAAAGGTGAAGAAGGCCGTTGCTACGCCGAAACCTTCGGTAAGTCCTGGTATTTTGCCTTCTTCTTCACATACGCGTGCGGAGCGTTCGCGCACTCCATCCCGTTAGGGGCGAAGTCTCAGACGAGTGTTTGCAAGCGAAAATGGCGGAAATGCACGAGCAGGATTTGCCAGGGACAACCAAGACCGGTAGATAGGTTAGGGTGTAGGGCTTAGGGTTTAGGGTTTAGGGTTTGGGGTTTAGGGTTTAGGCTTTAGGGTGTAGGCTTTAGCGCTCAGGGTTGCTGATTGTTCGTGGATTGAATCGCAAGGCGGGAGTCACAGCTCGCTGGGGCAACCGAAATCCTATGTATACTCCCATATATGCCCCACCCCCCGCCCAAAGTGGAATTCCATTCTGAGCTTGCTATCCGTAAGGCTTACTATCTAAGGGTAGTTACATGGTCCCTTAATATGGTCCCTTACTTACCTCCTTTAAAGGGTTCTGAAGGGCCCTTGGGTTGTATAGGTACTTAAGGGGTATCTCAGGGACCATGCAACTACCCTAAGATACCGGGCAACCGAGATTCGCGAATTCCATGACATGCACAAAGCCTTCAACCCCTTGGGCCTCAAAACTGTCCTCCAAGCCACGTACACCTCCTAGTCCCGTAAGTCCTCAAACCCCGAAACCCCTAAACCCGTAAACCCTTTCGCTGATTCAACCCCTAAACCCCAAACCCCAAACCCCAAACCCCAAACCCTAAACCCTAAACCCTAAACCCTGCACATGGGGGGCACCCCAGGATCCAGCATTGGCCCAGCGTCTGACGGAACTGGAGCAGAAGGCCCCCTACCCCCTCTCCCTCCCATATGAGACAGGATTTACGTTACTGCTATCTGGGGCTTAGGGTTGTAGGTTTAGGGTTTAGGGTTTAGGGCTTCGGGTTTCGGGTTTAGGTTAGGGTTTAGGGTTTAGAGGTCCATTGGGACATGTTATATTTCCCCTTCTTGAGCTTAAGAGGATTCTATATGAGGAGCATTGTTCACAGGGTTTTCAGGGCCATCCTAGTTATCGGTGAGTGTCGGTGTCATTTTGGGGTTTTCGTCACAAAAAGCTACTCCATGTCTGTCTGTTCCCGCGCCTTTTCCCTTGGGTGTCGGGGGGGTCTGGTGGTTTATGGTTGAGGGGGTTGGGGGTTGAGGGCTTAGGGTTTACAGCTTGGGCCCGAAACTGTACCAACCCCCTAAACCCTAAACCCTAAACCCTAACCATGCAAACCTTCAGACCCAAGACACAGAAATGGTAGCTACGTCTTCACTACGCGTTCCCATGCACCACAGCCCAAACCGCACAGATGCTTACGCAAGGCTCTGGGCCAACAAGGTTTGTATAGAACTTGCGTTGAAACCTCAAAGGTCCCGCAAGGACCCCAGGAGGCACCAAAAAAGAGGTTCCAGAGGCCCCAGAAGGCTCCAGACAGGCTCCGCAAGAACACTTTCACCCCAAATGGCGGACCCAAACCCTGTACAAGCCTAAACCCCCTCTGCCCAGAACCCCATAATCCCAGGCCCCTAAACACCCGAAACCCTTAGACCCCAAACTTCAGCGTCTTGTTGTGGAGATTGCAGCGAACGGCAGCGACACCTGGCCCCAAACCCAGACCCCAAACCGCCCTGGCATGCAAGGCCAACACTACTCTGGAGGGCATGAGAGTGCTTCTCAAGCAGCAAGAGGCACCTCCCAGTTGTGGTTTTAGTTTAGGGGTTGAGGGGTTTAGGATCTAAAGATTCTGTTAAGCTCGTAATGCTTTATGGTTTGCCTCAAACACACACCGTCACGGCGTAGCAGACCTGATCTACACGGGGGATATCTCTTGTACATTTTCTATACACTTATGAAGGCTTTGGAACACTCCGGATCCTCAAGCCTGTAGCCCAACCCCTAAACCCTAAACCCGAAACCCTAAGCCCTAAACCCTAAACCCTAAGCCCTAAACCCTAGCCCTACAACCTAGACCCTAGACCCTAAACCCTATACCCTAAACCCTATACCCTAAACCCCAAACCCTAAACCCTAAACACCCTCACCTGTGTGGGCCGATGGGTTTCAGGGTGTGGGGCTTGAGGGTTGAGGGTTGGAGACCCTAAGCCCTCAATCCTAAGGCCTTGTATAAGCCTAAGCCCTAAACTCTAAACCCTAAACCCTAAACCCCTCGAACCCTAACGCCCTTACAAACAAAAAATGAAACTAGGACCCAGGCCCTCATCCCCTTGCATTAGGAATGTTGGGTTTAGGTTCTCTTAGAAGCCCCTTGGAACCAAAAAGGGCGCCCTTTTTTATTCCTGGGTTACTCTTGAGTCTAACCCTAGACCCGAAAACCTAAACACTAAACCCTAACCCCTGAACCCTAAACCCCTAAACCCTAAACCCTTGCCAGGCCTTAGTGGCCGAGCTCAACAAGCTGAAGAGCTAAGGGGTGAGTGGAGACCAGGCAGGGGCCTGAGGGGGAGCAGGGCCAGGCGCTTGTCATGGGTTTAGGGTTTAGGGTTTAGGGTTGAGGGTTCAGGGTTCAGGGTTCAGGGTTCAGGGTTGAGGGTTGAGGGTTGAGGGTTGAGGGTTGAGGGTTGAGGGAGGTTTTGGGCCTCGGCTATTTCATGGCTTGCCTTGTTTGTCACTAAGCCCGAGGCCCTAAGCCTCAAACCCTAAACCGCCCTAAACCGCCCTAAACCCTAAACCCTAAACCCTAGGGTTTAGGGCTATTGCCGGCTGAGGCATTTGCCGACAGCCGCTGCCGGGAAAGGACACGGCCAAACGGCCTAGAACGCCGCCGTCATCACAAGCCTTAAAAAGGATTCTTTAGGGGTTTGGGGTTTGGGGTTTAGAGTTTAGGGTTTGGGGTTTAGGGTTTAGGGTTTAGGGTTAGGGTTAGGGGTTTCAGGGTTTAGGGTTAAGGGTTTACGGTTTATCGGTTTAGGGTTTAGGGCCTGAGAGGGTTTTTTTTGGGTTCAAACGTTGGGAGTCCTGGGCTTGGAAGGTTTCATAAACTTAAACCGCCAAGCCTAAACCTGAAGCCCTCAAGCCTCGTTCGAGCCTAAAGGGGCAGAGGCCTAAAGCCACATCATCTACCGGTTTAGGGCTTAGGGTTTAGGGTTTAGGGCAAGCCAGGGAATGCTTCTCAGGTAGTTACATGGTCCCTGAAGATGATCCCTTACCTGCTTGGAAGGATTGTGAAGTTTAGGTCTTGGGTTGAAAAGGACATCCGGCCCCAGGGTCCTTTTGTAGGGGACCCAACACACCGCTTCTTTTACTTGGGGGAGGGGGGGGGGTGGGGGTGGGGTGGGGTGGGGTGGGTGGGGGGGGGGGGGGTGGGAAGCCCACCAAAGCTCTCCTGTGAGGTCAATGTCTGGACACGAAACCCCCCTAAACCCCAATGCCTCAGACCCTAAACTCATAAACTCCTAAACCCTAAACTCCCAAACTCCCAAACTCCTAAACTCCCAAACTCCCAAACTCCTAACTCCTAAACTCCTAAACCCCTAAACCCTAAACCCTAAACCCTCAAACTCCCGACCTGCAGCGGCGTTGTGCTTACAGAGAGCCTACAGCGCCGATTTTAGGACTCCTGTCTGGTGGGGAGAGGGGGGAGGACGTTGCCAGGACGAGGTCTTCTATACACCAGAGGGTTTAGGGTTTAGGGTTTAGGGTGTAGGGTGCAGGGTGTAGGGTGTCAAGCATGGTAGGACATGAGTAAGTCTTACATGCATGCGACTACGACTAAGGGTTTAAAGGGGCTTCGGGTGCTGCGTTGTAGCGGAAGATCTCCGGCAGCAGCTGCGTTTGGAGCCATGGAGCGCACGAACACCGGCGTATCCTCGGGTCAGTTTGTGAAGAGCTGAGTTGCCTACTAATTGCTTAAGAACACCGAAAAACTTAAAGTACTCTTCCTTATTCAGGGAATTTCGGGATTACATTTGTTTTATTCTTTTGGGGATCTTAAGCAACTAGTAGTTGTGCCGCACAGGTTTTTGCTCTTGTTGGGTTTTGGGATTTCCGAAATCAACAGCACGGCACCTCTATTAAGATGGTTATGGTTGCTGTGCTACCAAGATGAGCTGTCGATACAAGTGCCTCCATCGCGTGCTGGAGCTTCGCCGAATCCTACCTTATTCTCAGCATAACATGCCCTAAACCCTAAACCCTAAACCCTAAACCCTAAACCCTAAACCCTAAACCCTAAACCCTAAACCCTAAACCCTAAACCCTAAACCCTAAACCCTAAACGTAAACCCTAAACCCTAAACCCTAAATCCTAAACCCTAAACCCTAAACCCTAAACCCTAATAAACCCTAAGCAGGACAGCACGGGCTTGACCCAGGGTTCTGAGTTCTGAGATCAACCCGGTTTAGGATTGAGGATTGGAGGGTTTGAGGCTCTTGAGGGTTTAGGGTTTGAGGGTTCAGGGTTTGAGGGTTTCGGGTTTAGGGCTAGGGTGTAGGGCTTAGGGATTACCTTGCGCCTGTCAGCCCTGACACCCCAGCGAACCTGTCTACACCAGGGGCTTCGCGCGCGGAAGGTTCATCCCTAGATTTCAAAAACTCTGAGCCCTCAACCCCTCACCCATAACCGAAACCCTATGTAGTCTCTATCCTAACCCTAAACCCTAAACCCTAAACCCGAAAACCCTAAACCCTTCAACCGCAAAACCCTTAAACCCCTACAAGCCCCGAAGCCCCTCACACCCCCTTCACCCCGAAGCAACTCGCCATCCTCGCCCAGGGCGGCGCTACACCGCACCCGTCGGCAGCGCAAGGGGCTTAGGGTTTAGGGTTTAGGGTTTAGGGTTTAGGGTTTAGGGTTTAGGGTTTAGGGTTTAGGGTTTAGGGGCCCATCTTGGCAGTACCCCTTTTGCCCTTGTTTTTGGTTCTGGGTTCCCTGATTAAGAAACCTCCGAAGGGTACCCTTATTTCAATATGGGTTCGGGGCTACCAAGAACTCCCCGCTCCTCCCAAGTTTGGGGTTTAGGCCTTACAAGACTTCAGGGTTTAGGAATATTCCCTGATCCAGTGACGGCGCTGTATAGGAAGGCGACAATTCCCGGTCAGGGCAACCTGGATGTTAAAGTTGGGGCCCGTGTTTTTGTTCTCTTGACTTTAACCTCACACACACACACACACACACACCGTGAAGAGCTTGCTACGAGTTGTTTGCTTAAGAAGCCCACCCCAGCAGACTTCCATATGAGCGTAATATGGGGTTTTTTATCTTTTGACAATTCGGGGGGTTATTCAGCAAGTGGTAGCTTAGGGCTAAGGGTAGGAGTTTATTGCAGTGACCAAGCCAAGCCACAACCAAAATATCGCGATCTTCAGCTGGGTTTGTGGCTTGGGTTAAGGGCGGTTTAGGGTTTAAGGTTTAGGGTTTAGGGTTAGGGTTTAGGGTTTAGGGTTTAGGGTTTAGGGTTTAGGGTTTAGGGTTTAGGGTTTAGGGTTTAGGGTTTAGGGTTTAGGGTTTAAGGTAATTTGGTTTGGAGGGGTCGGGCGGATTAGGGCTTAGGGCTAGGGTTTTGGGTTGAGGGCTTCGGGGACCCCCCCTGCCAGACCGGAGGAGTTAAGGTGAACATGCAGGTGTAGGGTTTAGGGTTTTTAGGGTTTAGGGGTATGAATGACGGGCTCACTTCCTGAATGCAGAGGGCTCTTTTTTTCTCTTACTTTCGTCTACTAGGAAGCAGAGGAGGCCCTCATCCCCCTCCTTTTTTTTGGGGTTCAGGTGCCCTTATAAGCTCTTTAACGCCAAGTAGGGGGCACCCTTCCTATTCTTAGGTTGCTAGTCTAGGGCCTTGCTTCTTTATTGAGGGGAGGTTGAGGGTTCAAAGGTTATAAATTTCAGGACTACTTCTCCTCCAAAAAGAGCTAGGGTTTTACCCAAGGCTTGCTCCAGGGTTTAGGGTTTGGGGAGTGTTTAGGGTCAAGCTAAACCCTAAACCCGAAACCCTAAGCCCTAAACCCTAAACCCGAAGCCCTAAGCCCTAATCCCTAAACCCTAAACCCTAAACCCTAAAGAACGTTTCAAAATGCTTCAGGTGCGTCGTCTCCCTACAGAATGCTTTTGGCTTTGGCAGCGAGGAGGCCACGATGGGCCGATGGCGGAAGAGCGCACCTCAACTGCAGATTTGGTTGTAGGGTTTAGGGTTTAGGGTTTAGGGTTTAGGGTTTAGGGTTTAGGGTGTAGGGTTTAGGGTTTAGGGCTTGCTGCGTGGGTCTGTGGGCGTGATGGTCGACGGTACCGGGTGTAAGGGTTGGGCTTGCGTCTCATAAGTACGTAGGGCACCTGCAGACATATCCCCAACTCAAGCAAACGCAACCCATACCCAACCCCAAGCAAACGCAACCCCAAGCCCTAAACCCTGAATGCCCCCTAAACCCTCAACGCCCCAAACCCTAAACCCCCGAACCCCAAAACCGAAACCCCCCCAAACCCCAAAAACCAAAGGCCCCAAACCCCAAACCCGAAACCCTAAACCCCAAACCCCAAACCCCAAACCCTAAACCCCAAACCCTAAACCCCAAACCCTGAACCCCAAGCCCTAAACCCCAAACCCTAAACCCGAAACCCTAAGCCCTAAACCCCAAACCCCAAACCCTAAACCCCAAATCCTAAACCCTCAATCCTCTGACGAAAGATTCGAAGGTCGCCGACCTACAGGTCCTCTTCGAGGCTTCGGCATGTCCCCAAAGCCCAAGAGTTTAGGGTTTAGGGTTTAGGGTTTAGGGTTTAGGGTTTAGGGTTTAGGGTTTAGGGTTTAGGGTTTAGGGTTTAGGGTTTAGGGTTTAGGGTTTAGTGTAGCCCTAAACTCTTAGAGTCCGCGAAGTCCCTAAACCCCGAAACCCTAAACCCTACAGGCCCTGGAAGACCTAGGCTTCGCAAGGGGTCTTGGCTACTTTGGAGACCACATACATGAACCCTAAAAGGGTTTAGGGTTTAGGGTCTAGGGCTTATGTGTCATATACCTTCTAGTAGGAATTCTAGAAGTACTGGGCATAAATCCCAAACCTTACACCCTAAACCCTAAACCCTAAACCCTAAACCCTAAAATCTAAACCTGCACAGTTCCCCCGTTTCCCTACCCAGCACCCTTCAGGGGCCTAGGGTTCGGATACCTATGATTTAGGACTTGTAGCAGTACAGAGGGCACCATGGTCAGCCCACATCTGGGTAGCCTCAATCAGAGGGCCCGCATTACAATAAGGACCCCTAGAAGGGACGATATTTTTGAGAAGTGACCCTAAACCCTAAACCCTAAGCCCCAAACCCTAAACCGTAAACCCTAAACCCTAAACCCTAATTAAACCCTAAACCCTAAACCCTAAACCCTAAACCCTAAACCCCAAGTTTTCCGCCTGCGGCAGTGCACTCGAAGATCCGGCCTGGCCGGCCGAACTCTGCGCCGTCATAGAAGAAGGGTTTAGGGTTTA